AACAGTTAATCTATCGACCATTACTAAAATGCAAAATAAGAGAAAATGGCTATAGAACAGTGAAATTATTATTTAAGAAGACAAATAAGTTGTTTATTAGTAGCCAACATTTGTTTCATTTGTTATGATAACAGTACAATTAGTATAAATCAATAAAGCCTTATTGTTGCCTAACTGTCGTGTTGACTCTACGCGTTCTGATATTTAATTCTACACCCTGCTTTGTCAGGCGAAAAGACAGTGTTAATTTTCGGTCGTTCTCCGACAAAAAAGGAATACTGCTACCATAGAACCGATAAGAAATTCTATATATCGGTTATGTGTAAGCAAATATTATTATGGTAAGTTGAATTATCAGTTAGTATATATATCGAGTTTTCATTAATGCCCACACTCGAGAAATTCGGAACATGATAGGGCTTGTTAATGGATACGGGCCTCTCAAAATATTGATCAGAAGTTAATCATAGTAATATCACGAAGTAAAGTTACCTTGATTGGATATTGGAGTTTCAATCGCAATTTTGAATACCTTCATTAAACCAATACAAAGCTGTTAACCAGCCAAGCTATGATGATGATTATAGTAAATAATATGCATTTAAGCATAGGCTTTCAGACCGAGATCTTCTTCAAAAAATTCCTAGTTTTTTATTAAGCCGAAACGGGACGCAAATTCCATATGAAGACTGCAATCGTATTCACGGGCATTATAAGTTATTCATTTAAGAAGAGCTAATTTATCGATTAAGTACCATATATATGCATATAACCTCACAAATTAGTATTGAAAATCAATAAATTTTGATTGCGATCGCAAATTTTCGATGAGCTCTCTATCAATGAAGAGAATTGTGTTTTTAACGATGATCATACGGATGATTTCTTATAGTCACAGAACTATCAACTAGAATACAACTGTCATGCAAAGCCATAGAATCGTTTGCAAACCACGAAATCACATCCAATCATAGAATTGTTCCATCTATCTAGAAATATATGAAACCGGCTGCAATTCCTAACGACACGTTCAACTTGTATAAATATCTCGTTATACCATTTTATAGACCACCATGATACTTTCCCGTGTTATTTCCAACATCGTTTAAGATGTTAAAAATTTTCAAAATTTTTTCGGGAATATACAATTCAAGCATAAAATGATGTAAAAGTACATCAAATTTCACGTTTTATAATGTTTAATGTGAATCGTAGCATCATCATTTGGTTGTCTTCATTTACTAACCACGATGGTTGTTTTTATTTCCTAGAGCTATTTTTTTTCCACAAAATAGTAATCGGGTTGGATCTAAGGTAGAATTTTATCTGCAATACCGTATTACCTACAATGATGTAATTCATAATCTAAATAATATTGTAAAATACCTTAATTTCCTGCAAAATTTCATAACAGTGCTGGCCAACGCGTTTAGATTGAATTAGTTCCCAAAAATACTCTGCACTAATTGCCTATGGGCGAAAAATTTTTGTTCGCTGTGGTAACATATGTGGAACAATGTCATATAAACCTAAAAAATAAAATACTTAATATATAAATTACAGTTTCTCCATAATTAAATTAAAGGTTTTAGAAGAATTAAAGTTCCTTATAATACGTTTTATTATAGTTGAGCAGTTAGTAATGAATGACAATTCGTATAAAAAACGATCTGTTTCAAAGTGCGGATTGTGTTCACTAAAACAAATAATTCGTGATAGATGGTCAAAGTCGGAGTTCATAGTGGTATGTTAACTTATAGTAAACTGGAAATTCTAGAAGCTCCAGATTAAATTACAAATAGCGAAGTGTATTGCACCTGTTTGTATAAATTTTTTCATATAAGCTGCTCGTTTGATCACCAAAGTTGTAAATTAATGCCTCCCAACTTCCGTAGAATAGTTTAATATGTTTTAATTGTGCAATAATATGTTTTAATCGTGCAATAATATGTTTTTACACAAGGGTGCTTTATCGCTAATTTATTCCAAAATTTTAATTAATTGTGCCCTGCTCGTAAAAAACCTACATGCTTTAATATTTGTAGACAATTTAATCCTTTTGTTGCACCATTCATACAACGAGTCAAAATTCCATGACATAAGTCTGTTTAGAAAACTTTAAGTAATTATTCATGCTTATGTTCTTTCTACATCTTCAATCAGTGTTGATTTGTACACCTAATCTCATTCATGTCACTAATTAAACCAATATGTGATTTAATCAAATGAAAGTCTAGGAATGGCATCCATCAAAATGTTATTAAAAAATCTGTAAAAGAACGATTTAAATGGAAGTGACAGACCAAAAAATCCCTTTATGTACGGAATTGACTGCATTTTATCTCATTACCAAAACAGGTATATTCATCTTTCAAAAACCATTTTGTTTTTTCTTTAGTGGTCAAATAGCAGCATTCAAGAAATGTTATTGGTACCAATAATTTTATTCGAGGACAAGGCATTTCATCGTATTCGGATGAAGCGCTCATGTTCTAAAAATTTGGTAATTATTCCAACTACGTGTTTTATTGTGGTTGGTTTGTTAAAATGCCAAGTATCGCATGTGTAACTGAAATTTGCGTCTTATCATGCTATCAATTTTTAATTTCCTATCGTGTCGATGAGTACAAAATTATTTAAATATACAATTTTTAATAAAGGGATCCGGTAAATACCGTAAACTTATATAGATGAAGAAATATGACGAAAGAAATGATATAGTGGAGTATGATGCCTTGGAAGGAATGATGTTGCTTAAGACCTACAGAAAAGCGAAGAAACCCTGTCTTGCAATATTGAAAGGAGGTGACAGAAGCCTGTGGGAATTTGAGATATATCACCATAAATTCCAGGTGAAGGACGGCAGTCATGCGGCTACTTTTTATTACTGTGTTCTTGAGAAATCCTGGTTTATATTTCTTGCAACAGGGCAATTACGAGTTGATAAGAAACCTGTGCGGACTGCCATCGTGCTTAGAAGCGGTTCAATGATAGAAATAGGCAAAATTGTGTGCTGTTTTGATATAAAGTTTATCGTACGCAAGGAATATAAGAAGTTACTCGTGGAAATTATACTATCCAGCTCCGAGAAGCGACTCAGCTTATCGGAAATCTACCAGAAATTGCTGTCTGATTATAGCTTTTCCACGGAGAAAAATGCATCATGGAAGAATAGCATTCGCTGTGTTCTGTCTGAGTCAAAAATTTTTTACAAAATTCCAAAGAAGATCAAACGCGGTCGTGGCGGTTATTGGTGTATAAACGAAAAGGAACTAGCAAAGATGGATGATGAAAGCATCAAAAAATGTGAAAAGAGATTCGTTGATTCATTTATCTATGACCGCAGAAGTGTGATCTATACGGCAGTAGATCTAATGCACAGCCTGCAAGATGAATGCAAAGAAAACCAGAACAACTACAGAGAACCACAATTTAAAGAACCTACAGGCAGCTACGACAAGTTTGACGAGTGTAGAGCTTTTGTCCCTAATTCGCATCATGAGAAGGTCGCACGAATTTCATATCATCAGAAATACAAAACTGAATATGATACAGAAGCAAAGAGACCAAGAAGGAGTCCTTGGTTTACTCAAATGTACAATACATCGGCAATGAATCCCCCGTACCCCAACGCGGTGTTTGATCCGTTTGAGTACAATGATGATGATGAGTTTGATGATTTGGACAGAGATGGAAGACGTTCTGCGTGTATTGCTGATGAGTTAAGCTCTGATTTTTCCTGTTTGTCGGTGAAAGAAAAGCGAAAAAAAAAAGAGTAGGCCTGCCAATTGAACAATGGCTTACGTAACAATTGTTCAATATTGGTTTGTATTAGGTTCAGTATAGCAATCCCTTCACACAGAGCCTTTGTAAATAATAGGTAGAATGTTTATAGAGGTACTCATTAGTACAATACACTATGTGAGAATCGATGATGTACCAACGAAATAAATTATTGTAAATGATTGAGATATATTCAGCACTTTTTATAGCATGCGATACCTGCGCGTAAACACAACTACAAGAATTTTAATTTTCATGTTATCTACGATAGAGCTCATCATTGAATCTTTATTTAGCTATCTACGCTTTCTTAGGTCGACGGAAACCTAAACTCTTTCATGTTTAAGCATGCTCGCGTTCAAACACCGCACACGCTTCATTCTATACATCAATTTACCAGGTTAAGAAATGTTTTAAATCGTGATAATTGAGTACGGCAGTACATTTGTGTTTAGTTGACAATACCTAGCCGTGGATCATGGAAACATTAACATTGAGCATCAATTAATACGTCCGTCCAGCATAACCCGTTGAACATAATCTTGCTTTCTTATTACACAGCTCGCTACCCGTGGCTCATTTATAAACGTCAATTCGTACTTTACCAAATTTATTCCAATAAAATGAGTTTTCGTAACATCAACAACACAAAACGGCAATTTCATCGCAAACCGATTCTGTAACACCCAGCTCTTTTAAGAATTGCCAATTTTTCTCCTAAGCTACAAAATCAGTTTGCATTCCATTTTATTACACATTAACAAGCCAAGAATTGCAAAACCAATAGGTTAACTCCTTTCATAAAATATCGATAATCTCCTAAACCAGTAAATTCATATTAATTCTTTTGATTTCAACTCAATATCACACAAAATCAAGATTTCCATTTTAATGACATGCATTTTATTTCATTAACTAATCATAGCTCATGGAATAGAAAATTACATAAGTACTTTATTTCGTTGCTTAGACACAAACATATGCCTTGTTCTCGCTCTTATGTTTAATATTGTAACGACCTATTACCGTATTATTGCGTACCTTGCATTTTATGTTACTGAATTTTTTTACATGTGTTGAAATCGCTTCATAATCATCCGATAGTATCATGGTAGAATAAAAGCAATGTTTTAAAAAAATTAAAGCGTATAATATGTTCTTACTTGAAATTTTAGAGGCATTACACGCCTTCATTCGGTCGTTTTTATCAAATAACTAGATATAAAATGAGTAGAAACTACTTATTTTTTACTAAAAGTCACCTATTTATCTTCTTATATCAGCAATACCTAAACAAGCCTGCTTTTCTGATTTGCTTGAGTGACAGTGGCCGTTGGCCCTTGGTTCATATGAAGAACTACATATTACGCTTTAAATCTAATCCAAAGTAGCGCTAAAAATCTATGTATGCAAATACACACCTATTTCGAAAACAAAATCTTCTTGGTTGGTCTTAAAAGTATTGCGACATTAAATGCTTTTCACCTTCCTTTAATCCTAAGCTGCTATGAGCTAATATAACACATTCGCCTGTACACATAACAAACTGTCTTCAAAGTCTACTACTGCTAGCACATTTCGTTATCACATAATTATTCAAAAAAACACATCTTGTGCAGTTATGCCCAACCACTTTGCAGTTACATTTCGTCATGGTTTGATGATTGATACACCAACTTTCAATTCATACGTACCGTACCTATGTGTTCTTCCAAAAATTTTTCGTGCAATTCATCTTAGCTTTCTATTCATAACTATTCTTTACTCTCTCTCTTCCAATCGCTTTGTCACAATTGTTGTTCTATGTTCAACTAATCTGGCCACCGCATTATTGCGACATAACCTTAGTGAATGATAGGTCATAAAAATATTTTTGCCGCTGATCACACATAACACAGCGTATGAGTATTTAAGTGTCTCTGTGCAGCGGCAAGTAAAATAAGCCTCTATCCTCACATAGTAGGTGTGAAAAGAAATAATTGAGTGTTCAAATACCGATATACCTTTATTAACGTATGTACGAGTAGTAGTTCAACATGACCGGTCAAAAGCACGTTATCTTTGACGCCTACAAGCATGAGCATGTTTTTTCGCGAATCATATATCGTAATCGTTTTCTATATGTTAAACGGACTGCTAATAAAATGTAAAAAGGTCCTATAAGACAAGAGTGATCAGGTCACGGCTCAGTAATAATTTATTTCGTTAATTGTATTGCCGAAGTCACTAGCAGCATAAAGCTTTCTTCCAGCGCAGCACTAAGACGATTAGTCAAAAATTAGCTGACTAGATGTAGTGCCTTAAATACATCCCTTTCAACATGGCGTTATATACAGAATAATTCGAAATAAATCTATACTTATATATCTTGGCATCTCATGGTGATATAATACCACTCAACACATGGTTTAGTAAAACATTACAACAACACTTCTCCATAGTGCGGTATACTCGCACCACCTCCGTCACCAACAACTAAACGATATTATACCAACAAAAAATTTATTCTTTTTCATGATACAGCACCATCTCCTTTTCCTTCGCCTCAAACCCGATCTTCATGTAAAAGTTCACATTTCTCTCTGCACATGCTAGTATGGTCTTATAACATCCCTTCTTCTTAGACTCATCCACCAACCTACTCACAAGCATTTTGCCTAAACCATGTCCGCGATGCTCTTCTTCAACCACAACATCCTCGACATGTCCGACCACGGAAAGTCCGTGTATAAACTTGTACTCGAAAAATATCGTGGCACATCCCAACACACGGTTGCAATCCTTCTTCAGCACCACGAATATTCTGTAGTCCTCTTTCTTCTTTAGTGTCCTGTAAAGGTTTAGCGCAGCTTGCTTGTCGATCTGCCCCAGGGTGGTTAATCCGGCAAGCACTTCCGGAAAGTTGTTTTCAAAATCTTCTTCCTGTAATTCTCTAACGTAAAAACCCATTGCAGAATTGTTGGGATGAAATTTATCAACAATGAAATGTTTAAAACACAATACAATGATTTTATTGGTTAGTGTTGGTTTAAGAACGTATTACACGCCCTTGAGACAACCAATACGAATGAGCAACGCTAACGAACTCTTTTGTTAGATCAGCTCCGTAAACGGTAACTAATCACGTGTCATTGTCAAAACGTGCTATTTGCACATTTTTACTTCTCATACGTTCAGGCACTGCTGATTATGATAGTAAACGAACACAGGCAGGTGTAGTACACCCTTTATAACATCACAGGCATGTATTGAACGGATCACCCTTCTTAGCGAGGAAGCGAGCAGCATTTAATAAAAATTGGTGGCAATAACTTTGCTACGCCATTCTTCCCAAACTGCACTATCTATGCATTTACACATCTTTTCTACCTCATCGGTGTATTGCGCACATCCTCCGTACGGACCAGCACTACACCTCCACTTCTCCATCAGCAATCTTTTTGCTCATTTTTTACCACCCCTACAGAATGTTCATATCACCCTACACCCATTCAAAATCACAGCCATTCTCTCATTTCTCATACTCATCCACCAACCTATTCACATCATTCTCTTCATCCCTACACGCACATGCCCCCAATGCCCGTATACTCACCAAATTCCCTAACGAAATAACAGCAATACACGCCAACCGCCTAGGAGTGGCTGCGGACCAGTCGGGTAATATCAAATTATTCAGCGATACGCACGTACTCAAGCAATTTAACTATCACCGTGCACGTGTTAATGTGGTCAGAGTGTGTGAGGGCCGGTGTGTCGTTTCGTGCTCTGATGATGGGAGCGTGGTGTGGAACGAATTGGAAAGTGTGCGTGTGTTTGATTGGCACAACGATTACGTTAGGGCGGTGTGTGTGGATGGTAATGTTGTTGTATCGGGTGCGCTTGACGGTCAAATGGTTGTGCACGATTTGAGGGAAAGCAAAAGTATGAACCGGTACACGGCAGCTGAGCCTGTCATGCATTTGGAAAGCACCGATGGCGTGGTGTACATTGCCACGCCCACCGGCATCACGCACTTCAGCCTCAAGGAGCAGAAAGCGGTGCATCACACCATTAATTACGGAATAAACGATCTCAAAGTGAGCAACGGTCTTTTGTACGCGTGTACTGCCCATAGCCTCACCGTATACAGCTCTAACTTGGAGGAGGTGTTCTTCTGTCGTCTTAGGGATGAAAGCGTGGGAATGGCATGCAAAGATGGTGAAGTAATGATTGGATTGAAGAACGGTACTATTTTAGGTTTACGTGCGCATTGCGATAGCGGTAAAACGGTGGACCGTGACGAGGCCATAAAGGGTCGAGTGGTTGGTGAGGAGGCGCACGGTCATACAACGAGTGATGAGATGAACGACCAGGTGATAGATGAGATCGTGTACGACCAAATAACACGTGGTGATAGCAAAGAATATGAGCAGGGCGACGGGGTAGACAGCAAGAAAATGCAGAACGTAGCAGAGAAGCATAGAAACGGCTGCAAAGAGCTAAAGGAAACACTCAACTCAACTGTTAACGGTGCGGTGCCATCATCTTCACTGCACTACAAGGAGAACGAGCATCCCATCCACATCCTTTCAAAACCCTTCATGGTGTACGACCGGTATGAGCGAATGCTCAGGAACCATGAGTACCGCAAGTGTTTGAAGGCCGTTCTAACAGCCAACGATAAACACCGCATGTACCGCGTACTACGGTACATCCACAACAAGGGAGTGCTAAGGCAAGCGATCTATAGGCACAATGTACGCCTGCTCACCAATTATTTGAGCGAGTTCATCGGTGATCTGCTGCACAAGAGCATAGCACTGAAAGGCCTTGTAATTATCAGCGGGGTATTTGACAGGATGTTGCTTCAGGACAAGGAGATGCTAAGACGGGTTCGTTACGCAATAAAAAATGAAGAGCGCGTGCAGAAGGAGTGTGTAAAGACCTACGCATATTTAGAGACACTTTTAGAGAGTGTGAACGAGGAACAGTGATGAGTATCTCCTGTCCACAACGTATCGGTAGTCTTTGATTCGTTTCTATCGGTATGTTCCCTTTCGTTCCAATAAATTAACATCATTCTCTTCTGCTAGTGATCACGAGCTGTTGCTTTCTCCGTTGCTGCGATGTACCTTTTTGTGTTCATGCTTTATTTTCTATTTATATCAGTAATCACCTGTTAATCCCCATCAATGCACCATTTGTAAATAATACCTTATCCTCACCTCGTCATACATTCAAAGTATTTCTTGTGCTAGCGCTCAGCATTGAGCAGGGTTATCCCAGCATTTCCGTAACGTGCAACTTTCACACGCTAAAGCACCAATTCTACACAACAATGTATTACAATCTCCTATCGCGTATTCGTGCACTATTTAATTCACTCTGAATACGTACGATAAGCATGAACTGTTCCCCATTTATGCAACAACTCTATTTATTCCCAATCCTAACTCTATTTATTCCCCATCCAAACTATATTTATTCCCTATTTATGCAAAAACATCATTTCTAACACACTACCCCATCTCATTCTATAAGTTTATTTTATTTACCTTTCCCCTCATCCTCCAAACCAAACTACACGTCCTTTACCACCGATACGCTCCTCAAACGATCTATGCCCCTGTACCAATTCTCTACCACGCATTCTCACCACGTTACAAAATCACTGCAACTATCCATACCATAGCACCACCACTCAGCATTCCTGTTCCACTAAAACACCACACCCCGCATTCATTTCTTTACATATCCTTTGTTTTCCTTGACCGCCAGCAGCTTATCAACCATGTCCTTCTTACTCCTAAAACTGGCATTACGCACGTTCACACCATCTAAAAATCGCTGTGCTTCGTACACCATCTCCAAATAAATGAGCACATCAACCATTTCAAGCATAATCAGGTCATCGTACTCATCCTTTCGCGGCAACACATTGTTCTTGAGGTACGCCACCAGTGCGGCTGTATCGCCCGCATCAACCCTGTACGTTCTTCTGATCAGCTCTACCGCCCTGTCATACTTCTTGTTCTCCACCAAATACTTCACGTACAGGTACTTGATTATCTTGTTGTGGCTGTTGAGATCAACAGCCTTTCTGAAAAACAGGTCTGCGTTCTCTATCTGGTCCGTTTTGGAAAATACAAGGCCGATACCGAAGAGCGCATTGTAGTTGTTGCGGTGCATTTTGAGCGCATGAAAAAAAAAGTTTTGTGCATGATCGTACTCGTTGCGGATTATGCTCTCGTGGCCAAGCAGCAGGTACGCATACGCTGTCTTGTACATGTTCAGGCTCTTTTTAAGGCACAGCACTGATCGATTGTGATCGTTTTTAAGTGAAAAATAGTTGCCCAGCGCTGACCATGTTACGTAGCTGCCCTTGCATTTGTCTAGCAATGTACGGCACATACACGAGAGAGCATTCGTGTTCTTATCCAGCCAGAGTGCTGCTGAGTAGCTATCAAAATCTGCCGTGTACGTGGCATCGTTCTTCAAGACAACCTCGAAGCAGCGCATACTACGCTTAACATCACCGTGCTCGAACAGAATACGCCCTGCATTTGACACGAAATACGTACCGATGCCTGGCATCAACGAATAATACTTCTGCACTATTTTGATGTTCTCCGTCCTCTCAAATTCGATGAGATCGGCCGTAAACTGCGCAAAGAAATCGTTCTCGCCCGTACACACGAGCTCATCCAGTTTGTGCTCGTAAAACAACGCAATAAATGGTACATACAGCCCTGTGCACCGCTTGTAGTACACCAAAGCATCATCGCCCTGCTCATTCAGCGTGTACAGCTCGCCAAGTAACGCATACACATGCTCATCACCTCCATCCTCGAGCACATAACTGTTCCACTCTCCGTCTATCACATCCTTCAGCGCCTCTCTGTTCACGATACGCAACAGCGCATCGATCGCATCGCCATAATTTTTCATTTCCTTGTGGCACAGTGCCACGTAAAACAGGCCCGTGACCGTGTTAAACGTACTCAGCACGCTCAGTGCCCTGTAGTACTCTCTATTCTCGTACAGTGCTATGCCCAGTACCAGTTTGAGCGTTTGCTCTTTCTGTGCAGCGTGAGCAAGCACGAAAATGGCCTGTCTGTAATTTTTGTATTTTATGGCCGTTTTGATTTGTTGTACGTACATTTTAAGGGTACAAGCGATAAATCGGGCAAAATGTGCAGCACAAATAAAGAGAAGGGTTAGACCGGCAATGGAGAGCGGGCAGGGTAATGGAGAGCGGGCAGGGTAATGGCTGAAGGGTTGTAAGAATGAGAAATGAAGAAGGTGAGAAGGACATTAATGATTGCAGAGTAGAACGAGACATCATAACGGTGTAACAGCCAAGTACCGCAGATCAAGGATACATCTCCTAAACCAAACAGGAAGTTAGGTGGGAGGAGTAATATCAAAATTTGAAAGAGTGATTGGTAAAGGGTACGTGGTAGTGCCGGATATAAAGTGCCTTCAAAGTTAACAGCAGGAAGTTGCAGTGATTGTAATTTGTAAATGGTAGCGATGCAAATATGGGCCAGTACTAAAGTGCAGTTAGTACTCGTACATCGCTATGGAGTACGAGGCGTGCAGACTTAAAAATAAAAGCTGCCTGCCAATCAAAAACGATGGGAACTGCGAGACTCGAACTCGCGACCTTTAGATTATGAGACTAACGCGCTACCGACTGCGCCAAGCTCCCGCAACACCTGATATCAATAAACATTTTATACACGTGAGTTAAACACAAGATCTGACAGATCTACGAATTGTTCCGCTTCGTATTCATCAAGAATTCGTTATTTGATGTTAACTGGTGTAATAGCAATTTTAATCATCTCAATTTGTTACAAATGCTGTACCCTTTCTCACCACCGCAGTAAAACTTGCCTGAAACTAAAGATTATCTTACCTTGCTTGACCGGTACACATGTTCGGTATATTTACTGCACTTTTATAGCGGTACAATATCGTTAACGTTAAGAATACGTGTTACGTAGAAAGATGACCTCATTCAGTGTTGAAATGGAAGGATAATGATTTGAAGTGCTGGACCATGTTCATAGCATTACCATCGTGGAAAAGAGCACGCGTTAGTCCAAGCATTCAGATATTAAAATGGTAATTTGCAGGTTACGTGTTGAGAAGGGTTTTAATGCGTGCTACTGACCTGAAAGATGCGATATGTTTAAATACAGGGTATTGATCGTTTACCCTGCGCGATATATTGTAACATAACCTCTGCTCTTCTTTTATACCTACATCTGCTCCTCTTTTATCCTTACCTATACCTCTGCTCTTCTTTTATCCTTACCTATACCTCTGCTCCTCTTTTATCCTTACCTATACCTCTGCTCTACTTTTATACCTACATCTGCTCATACCCACCATCTGCTCATACCCACATCTACCCTAGCTCATGCACCTATACAATTTACGTAACACCACTTAATGCCCATCACTCCTCCTCTTAGTGTACAACACCCCATCCCTACATCCCAAGAACCTTTTACGTATCATCATCTCAATGAAAATATCCATCCTCTCCATCTCCACATCCTTAAAAGCCTCATAGACATCATTCAATCCGACCTGCCCCCTATGCTCCACATACCCATAAATCATTTGCACGTGCTCGCTTGAAAACGCCTCCGGCAATTGCTCCATATTGAGAGAATGCAGCGCATCATCAACGGACACGTCGTATTTGTGTGCTGGTAGCTCGTAGGTACCGCTGCTTGTAAGCTCATTGGTGTGCTCCACGCTGTCCGTGACCGGCTGCTCACCAGTAATGTTGAAGAAGTTCAACCATGGCTGAGAATGCTCCAAAATCTTGGTATTGGTGTGCGAGAGCTGTTCTATCTTGTGGTTGATTTCTTTTAGGACCTTGTTTATCGATGAGAATGTTTGGTCGATCTCCTCGAGCTTGTCGATGATCTGTTCCTCTACTTCTATTTTATGCATGGGGTGCATTTTGCTGGGTATAAAATAAATATTTGGCATAGGCAGGCTGACACGCATTCTGGTGTTCAAGGTTTAAGCACCCCTGCGTAACAGAAAAATTGATTGATACATGGCGGGCACAGGGTGAACCAAAACGAGCGGACAGGCATGTTCTACCGTTAACGCATGTAAATGTGGTGTATTGCAATGAATGGTAAAACATGGCATAATAACGCAGGTGAAAAACGTTCATAGGTAGAGCAACGTGCAAATGCGGCATATTTACAGGCGTATTACGGTGTATAAGCAAGTTATGCACTGTCAAGCATTTTACACGTGGTGAAAAGTACTGAGAATAAGAATAGGTGAGATAAAATTGTAGAACGGAAAAGGAATAGTGACAGTAAAACGTGGGAAGGTAGAAGAACGGTGACGAGAAAGGAACGGTGACAGTAAAACGTGGGAAGGTAGAAGAACGGTGATAACAAAATATTACACAACAACACACAAAAGCACCATTCCATAGAAACGTGCTCGTGCACCCTAAAGTACACCATCACTACGCGTACAGTTCAACAGCACGGTTAACAGCAAAACGATGATGAAGTGATCACGGTATCACAATTTGATTCGTACATCTGCTGCGCATTCCGCAACACACCTCAATTCTTCGTTCTGTTCATCTGAAACGGTTAATAACCGTTTGGTAACCGTGTACGTAACAAAGGCCGTGTTTGAAAGGACAGGCAATCAAAAACAGTACTTGTGCCCCTCACAGAGCTATGCCTCTTTTTATGGCACGTTTGTGAACAATGCTCATGCGCATTAAAATGCGAGTTGCTCATGATCAGATCAATGCGTGACATAAACAGAAATAACACGTAATGATAAGTTTTATCGCATGAATGAAAACAACCGGTAAAGGAACGCAGAATACGAAGCATCTCCTCATCGATCCGTAACATGGCATCAACAAAGTAGGATCCTATGGGTGCACGGGTCCCTTGACAGAACAATGAACAGCAGGAACGTAATATCAGACCAAACGCATTCATGTAACGGTTCGTGTATGCACATAACAAGAAGATAGAACATGGAACAGACCGTACCGTTTGGTTGAAAATTGGCAGCACGGCTCTATTATCACGTTTAATTATGGTTTATGCATAGCTCGCTATTTATTTATGCATAGTTTATTATTTATGGTTTATGCATAGCTCGCTACTTATTTATGCATAGTTTATTATTTGTTGCCTATCTACCTCATGCTCCATTCTCATGCTGTATATAACACAGCACAACCTATGAATTGTTAACTTATGCTACTCTGCATAGCACTGCACATTAATACACAAAAATACCGCATATTGATGTGTTATCACTGATGGTATGATCAGCAATCACAGCGATGTACCAATCCGGATGAGTGCACGCTTTTCTTTTCATTGATTGAACGTGCGCTAATCAAACGATGTAATCGTAATATTTGCATTTTTTATGCATTGTTGCCAATGATAAGCATTTTACGTGCAGAAGTGTTTGACACCGGTTAAATAATAAGATGGGAAGCGTAAAAAATGCAGGATTGGTAACCGTTCTTTGGTACTGTCATGTTTATGCTGTTGTTACGTAAAACATGGCTTAAAGGGACATGATAGCAAATTTTGATATTAACATGTTTTAAGGGGTTTAAAACATTCTGCACCAGAGCTCCCTTTAAGCATTTCTTAATCAGTAAAACAGCTGCGGAAAGAAGGAACAGTACTACCATAGAAAATTAGGATCGGTAACACAGCTAAATAAGAATTAAACTATTTATGCATCACACTTTCTTATCCGTTTATGCGTTATTTTATTTAAGTATAAATAGAGAGGCGGTTACAAACAATGCATAACCAGCAAGATCATCCCACCATACCAACCAATACGTCGCACGAAAAGGTCATCATGCACCAGCCAATGAGTGCATTGCGCTTGCCCTCCAACCAGTTTCATTTCTCATCACCAAATAAAACAATATCTCCTTTTGAGTAACATGTCAGCATGCTCAGTGATATGTGCCCACCACACAGCATAGCGAGTGATCTGCCGCAATTGGCACGATAAGCCGTAAAATGCGTTTTATCTGATTTTGGCATTAAAATAAAAAAGAAGAAATGCATACGAACCACTGATCGGCTTTATGTTCAGTTTAATATCGCGCAACAAGTTCAGCGAGTTTGAACGGCTTTTCTTCGGCATAGATAGAGAGATGGATGAGAGTGCAGCCGTGAGTATATTGGAGAAAGAGGCCAAAGAGAACTATGAATCTTTGGCCATTCTTTCGTTTTGCTACGAATTTGGGATTGGTGTGCATAGAAACATAAAGAAGGCCGAATACGGGTACATGATAAGCTCATCGAAGAATTCAGGACTTGCACTTGTTAGGCTCACGTTCTTGCGCAAGTTTGGACGGCCTAGCGTGCGTATTGACAGGCTGGAGGCGCAGATACTGCAGAATAAGCTGCGTACCATCGGATCGGCAAGCGTGGCCTGGCTCGAGAAGGCGGCCAAGCTTGGTAACTCCTACGCGCAGTACTGTCTGGGTACGTGCTACCACGATGCACTGGGTGTGCGGCGGTGCACGAAGCGCAGCATTGAGTGGTATACGCGCAGCGCTGCACAGCGCAATCCGTGTGCCATCGGTGTGCTTGGCTTCTGCTATCTCGAAGGCTTCGGTGTTGAGAAAAACGAACACAGGGCATTTGCACTTTATCTGCAGGCTGCACGCATGAACGATCCTGTGGCGACATACAACATGGGCTTTTGCTACGAAGAGGGCAAGGGCACTGTCAAGAACATGAAATACGCATTCTTGTGGTACAAGCGGGCAGCCGAGATGGGCAACCCATTCGCACAGAACTCGCTTGGCTACTGCTACGAGGAGGGCCTTGGTGCGTACAAGGACGAGAACAAGGCGTTTACACTTTATAGAGAGAGTGCACTGCAGGGATATCCGTGGGCACAGTCCAATCTTGCGTACTGCTTCCAGCAGGGAATAGGCGTGGATAAGGACTTGAAAAAAAGTTTTGAGTGGTACGAACGTGCAGCCATACAAGGCCTGTCACGCGCTCAGCACAATCTTGGACACTGCTACCATCAGGGCATGGGCACAGACAAGAACGTAACGGAGGCTGTAATGTGGTACAGAAGGGCGGCCAAGCAAAAGAATCTTTATGCGTTTCATAGCCTGGGCAACTGCTACCAGAATGGAGAGGGTGTTCCTAAAGATGAGCGGGAAGCAGTGCGCTACTACAAGCTTGCTGCACTCAAGAATTTTGTACCATCGCTGATTTCCCTAAGCTTTTGCTACCGGCTCGGTCTGGGCGTAGATACCAACGCGTTGTCATCATTCCACTATATGAAAAAGGCCGCAGAGCTACACAACGCGTACGCGCAGAACTGCCTTGCATTTTTTTACGAGGAGGGATATGGCACGAAACGAAACATAGAGTTTGCCATCATGTGGTACACCAAATCAGCAAATGCAAACAATCCTTGGGCACAAACCAACCTAGGCACGATATACTTTGAAGGCATACACGTGCCAATGGACCGTGAGAAATCGGTGTACTATTTTAAGCTGGCTGCTAACCAAGGACACTCAAGAGCATATTCCAAGTTGGGATACTGCTATGAGGAGGGTATAGTGGTGCATAAAAACCCTTCTATAGCGTTCAGCTATTACAACAAGGCTACTGAGCAGGGGTATAACAGAGCATACTATGCGCTTGGAAGGTGTTATGAACGAGGATTTGGTATCGATTTTAATATGAATCAAGCGCTTTCTTATTTCTACAAGGGCAGTTTTTATGGCGATTTGAGGGCCCGTGAGAAGATGAAGAAGATTTTGGGGAGATGTTTGATCAATGAATGCAAGATGTTTGCGAAATGTGCGTGATACGTGTATTTGATTGGTGTAGAATGGGCATTGGTATGAGATGGGGTATTGGATGGTGTGCGAAGTAGAGTGCGAGATAAAGTGCAAAACAGAGTAGTGCTATGACATAATAGGCTATACAAGGTAGATTAATGGTAGATATGATTCGTATGAATACAAAGGATAGTAGCACCGTATTACGTACGGGACATGAATGGTAGGTGTTACACGGTAATTACATTGTAGGTATGTAATTACATCGTAGGTATGTTGTGATGGTGTACAGCACGTATAACACACTCCTTACACCGTAGGTATGTTGTGATGGGTACAGCACGTATAACACACTCCTTACAACGTACCCATTACTACACCATCTCCACTAATTATCATACATCTTATCACATTGCGCCACAGTTCCAGCACAGCATATATCGTAAGAACACTTCCTGTTTGATACGCAGTGTTCCTCCTCAACAACTAAATAAAACTTATAGATACAAACATATCATGGGCACGTATTGGTAATGTGTTTTACTTACATAACATAACGATATGATAATTCATAACAATAAATAATATTGCGTAAAAATATAGCAAATAGTGCTTTTGAATGCAAGCACATCCCCTCACAATACGTGAACCACACCAAATTATGCATTTATACTTTGTTGACCTGAACGGTAAAATATGGCAGCAAAACATAATACAATGCTACACCACGCATTAAAATACACTATCAATAAATTCATCATCATCAACACTCTCAATTAGCACACCATTGCGTTGCACCATCGCAAGCAGCTCCACGTACCTTTCCCTTACGCTATGCGAGGGGTGCTCTAACCCACTCACCAAGTACTTGAACACGTAATTACTGCTCAGCTTACGCACAAACAGAACAAAACACTCATCAAATACGTCCTTGATTTCGTCATCACACAGTAAATTAACGAATGATATGTTGAAGAGGTGTATAAGGTGCTCTGTTGTTATGTGCAGATGTAGAACGTGTTTTAGCAGTTGTAGCGCGCATTTTCTTAGTGTTTTGTCGTTTTGTGTCAGGGCGTTGTTCAAGACCGGTATTATATATTTTATCAGTTTGGAAGAGACTCTTACGTACTTTCTGTTTTTTGCTCTGCGCTTTTTATCTTCTATTGCATACGTTTTTGCGGTTATTTCATGCGCTCGCAAATATCTTTTATATTTTTCATTCTTTATGCATTTATGCCTTGCTATATCACATATTTTGCCACTTCCACGCTGTTCACAATTGCCATATTTATGCAGTGCATAACGATAATTATCTGCATTACTACACACCATATTACAGTAATTCGTACTATAACGCCCCATATCATGATGCGTTACGCCACAGTACCTCCCCACATAATATTTTACAATCCGTTCTAACACCCTGATAACACCAACCTTGACGTTAAACTCCCTCATTCCGTAGTCCATCAGCAAAACGGCCACCACCTCACAAAAATACCGCACCCCCATCTTAGAAAGCACCACAACCCCCATCACTCTCTGCACCCGGTCACACACCCTCAAATTGTCCATCATCAAATTAACAACACTCCTCACATCCACCCATCTCCCCATACAGCAGTACAACGTACCAATGCGCTCTCTAAATCGCTTATTCACCGTGTTCATTCTGTCATTCACGATGTGCATCACTCTCAGAACATCCCTTCTATCCACTCGCACACCACGCAACAACCCTATCAAAAGGTGTACACACTCGTAAAACGATTCTTCTCTTCTCACGTTCACCAATATGCTTTTTAACACTCTGCGTGTGAACAGCTCATCGTTCGTCATCTCCTTATGCTTTCTTATCACCCTGTAGCACAGCATCACCGTGCCCGTGTCATCATCTTCTAGTCCCTCGTGCACCACGTGGTGGTAGCTGTGAATGTCACCGGGTAGTTCTGCCAGTAATAGCAGTTTAGTACGTAGCGGTACTTCATCCACCAGTTCAAATACTTCTTTGGTGTTTACTGCCAGGGCACGTACGTGCTTTATCACGAATTTGTTACCGCTTCGTATCAGTTCTTTCATCCTGCGCATGTATTCAGCACGGTTGTTGAGCCTTACCAGCACGGTATCGCTTACGTTTTTGCTGTTGTCGTGCTTTGCCATTATTTGCACCCTGTTATCATTTATTGCACTCTTTACTTCCTTATCAGTCTCCTCCACACGTTCATTTCTCTCGTTCTTTATTTTTTTTCTATTTTTCTCCGTTTCTTCTCATCCCCAATCTCATCACATACACAGTCCTTTATACGTTTTTTATTATTCCGTGTATCATCATGTGCCACTCTTTGCGCATTCTTTCTACTCCCTACAGTTACACCGACCCCCTCATCGTTTTCATTTCCATCACATGTTTTTTCGCCACACCTGCAACATGCACTGACACGATATGCTCCGACTCGTCTTCTTTTGTTCCTCAGCACCACCAGCCCATACACCCGGTCCAACATCCGCTCAACCATCACATCCATACACTTCTCATTCTCCATCAATACCACAAGCAGCTCATCATACAACCGTTTCTCTCTTTCATTAAAGTTCACGCTCAGGTCTTCCAATTCATGCATCGCATTAACAAAAAGTGCTATATCATTAGATTTACGCACATCACGAGCCATAAACACGCACATCAACACCTTAATACTCATACCATACCGTTTCATCGTTCTATAACGCATTTTATGCATTTTGGCGTGTATCAACGCAACTACATGCTCATCATCACCCGCTATACTTATAAGCGCGTGCAACACGTTAATATTCGTGTACATATGCGCTTCATCCTTCAAATGCTGTATTATGGGTGTATAATCGATGTTGTACCGTTTTCTATGTGTGCACACGACAAATGCACATTTCTTAGGCGCATGCCGGTCGTACCGCACAAGTTTAAAAACATTACTGAGCAAAATTGCGCTGCCCATCCGTGCCCTACAGATCATCAGATCCACAAAGAACGAATTAACCGCTTGTTTGTTGCTCTCAGCCAGTGCACACATAAACACATGCACACTCTGGTGCTGTACCACCGCCAGCACCTCCTTAACATCATCGTTACGCAGCACATGATCCCTGAGCACGTACAGGAAGTAATCGCTGTGCCGATCGTACAACGTGTTTATGAGCGTGATGATCTCCTCCCTGTGGTCAAATACGTGCAGGACGTGGTTCAGGTACAGAATAATGCTGAGCAGGTCTGGCGGTGCCTCACCGCTTTGTGCAAGCGTATTGGCGGCTTTCAAAAAGTTTAAAGAATCGAGCTCGTCAAGAACAACACATGTTAGGAATTTAAAAATGGTTGACACGTCCTTTGCAGCGCGCATTATTTGATTGAAATGCTTTCTCTGCTTGTACAGCTGTACGAAAGTAGCATTGCCTCTGATTACCTGCATGTTATGCTTGACGGGGCTAGGGCGGTACTTTTCGGGTCTGGACAGTTTGTGATACGGGGGTATACTCGCTGGTTTAGGACCGGCACTGTCTTGTGGTTTGATATGTGAATGAACATTGCTTTGTGGTTTGTGATATGCATTACTTTGCGGGTTAAGATAGGTATTGCTTTGTTCATTGTCGGTCCAGTTTTTATCACCGCTTACGATGCCACCATCCGGTTCATCAAGACTGACACGACCAAAATCGTTGTAACTGCGCTGCTCATCAGCGCGATGCTGTGAACTAAGCGGCTTACTGCGGTCCGAATCGGTACTGCCACACATAAATTTAGAAATTCGCTTTCCGTTACTTACCATGAGGGTCTATGGATTGAATTTTTGCAATTTTAATTACGTTTAAAAGATTAGTGTGAGGAAATAAACAAGCGTACTTTTAGCCCAAACATGACATTTAAAAATGATAGGTGATGAAATCGCTGCTCCCTCACCAACATAGACAAAACGTGCTCACCAACATTTTAATTAAATAATGCAATGCATAAATACTTAGTGCTATATTGAGTGATATAACACATTTAAACTATTATATAACGTGATGTGCACACTTACATTCAAATATCATGCACATGGTAATTAAACTCGTTAGACCTACAACACACTTTAAACCGATGCAGCAATTGCTTTACTTGCCGTACGATCACAGCCATGTTATATATCGTGAGCATCAACCGATATGGTAGGTAAATTTATTTGCCATGGTCACGCCGTAAACGCACCACGCTCATAACAAAGTGCAAGCGCTAAAAGCGGTCACTTCATGCCAATACCAGGCAAAATATCGTTCTACTGCAAAAAACTCTGTTTTTAATTCGTAAAACATAAAATACGTTTTAAAGTATTATTTTTGCCATAGGTGCCATACTACAAAGGAAAGTGTGCCGTAATAGGACATAAAGATTTATCACTCGATGTATGTGTATTTAATGAATGGAGTGCTACTCATCGCACATTCACTACGTTTCTTTTACGTATGTGAACATAAAACCGCTCTCAATAAAACACTCCTGGTCAAAGAATGGGTGTAAAACTCTTTTAGTTAAATTTGATATCCTTCACAATCTGCGCAGCAGTTCAATCCTTGAACAATGCTCTCTTCACAACCAATTTCTGTTCAATGATTGCAATCTCTTAGGATCTTCTTTTTCATCATTTACCGTAAAGCAGTGCCACACCTAAATTTGAATGATAATAATCAACAGCGATAATACGTAAATTTATTTACATCATCGTTTTATTCATTCTCTTCAACAATCCTTCTTCCCTTCATTACCACTCATTCATTCTCTTCAACAATCCTTCTTCCCTTCATTACCACTCATTCATTCTTTTCAACAATCCTTCTTCCCTTCATTACCACTCATTCATTCCCTTCATTACCACAGCCCGAATGACCTTAAAAATATTTTACTGCCCCTCTATCAACGATTTTTTAACCGAGAAAATAAACGGTCATCAAAAGCTGCTCACAGGCACAAACAGGTACGTAACACGCTGTACACTACCGATAAATCGTATTATTGCGCGGTAATAGCATAAAAAAGCGTAACTGCAGTATTATGCATGAGCAGAACAGCCATAAATGGTAAATTAGTACGAAAAATGAATGAACATGAAGGTTTACAAAATACATGGCTAGTAAGGTTGTAGTGAGCGGTGTTGATTTATTTGTACCGTTTTACGTCCTTGGGTGCTGCGCTTTTTGTGATTGAGCGGTTAATTGAAGAGGAACGCTCACCGGTAGCATACTCAACTGTTCTTTAAGGTTTGGTTATTGGTAATGAAGAGAATAACAGGCACCAGCCGTAGAACCAAAAATGAACTGCGATAGTAAACCACCTCATCCGTAATGAACCTTTAAATGGGAGTACGTCCTACACCGCTAGCTGGTGTATCAACACGTTCAAAATTAAAGTACGACAAGAAAAGTGTTTACCTGTTCGATACGGTTGGTGCTGCTGCCTTGCATGTTCACAAGTAGAACGGTGTTGCTCTGAAATATCGTATGATTTTATTGTTGCTCAGCGTTTTTAATACTTGACAGAAAAAAAAGAGGAAAATGATTTTGAAGGGAGCAGTGAATGAGGTAATGAATGGAGCAGTGAATGAGGTAATGAATAGAGCAGTGAATGAGGTAATGAATAGAGCAGTGAATGAGGTAATGAATAGAGCAGTGAATGCGGTAATGAATAGAGCAGTGAATGCGGTAATGAATAGAGCAGTGAATGAGGTAAGATAAAACATTACAAACCAAGTAATGTATAAAATCACGATTTATTACCAAAGTGCGCATGCTCGGTAATCTGCACCAAACCGAATACAAAATTATGAGCATATGATCATATTTGGTAATAAAGCTGAAGAGAACAGAAAAGCATTTTAATGAGTACTTAGCGATGAACTGATTAACATGCCGGTACTGCAGCACGTATCACAATGCCTATTGCATCATGTACTGCTATTTTGCCGCTCCTTATATGGTAGGTGCCATAGTTCATCAAACATTTTTACTTTGTTCGTTTTCATTTCGTAGAATTGGTGCGTTTATTACGTACGCGTGGCACGGGGCCGGTAACTCTTACTGTGCTGTACACTCAGAATTTATCTTTCAGAATGATCGATCATAGCGGGTGGCAGTGCATCGTTAACACGTAATAAGATCAGCTCAAACGCAGGGAACACAAATTTAGCACGTAATGAGCATTTAAAAGGTATTTCTTGTGAATTGGCACTACGCACCAATTGTGGTAAATAAACCTTCTAAATGGAGAGTGCCATTACGTATTTTTGAGCAGTTTTCGTTCATTATTGCGGTTTAAACACCAGACAGGTTATTTATGTTGATTTGGATGCGTAGGTAGTTTTGTACGGGGAACGCTCTGAGATACGTGAGTAAGTGCCCGTGTAAATAAGTACGTATACAACCAAACAAAACATAAGCAATGCATTATTCTGAATAATTGCACGTAGAACACTCACAAAGCCACCTCTACTGGTTCATTTTCTTAAGCTTTAGGGTTCGGCTACGTCTTCGATATTTCACGCAATACAAGGCACTCACAGATTCATCATGGAGCAACACGCACAACAAACATGTTTTGGAATGGTTTTAACAACCTGCACGCCCAACGTACAGACATCGTGCCATTCACCACAAATAAAAAATTTTGCAATCAAACTGTCAAATTATTTCCGGGTTTCAACACTAAACACACTTTCATCGCATATAGTACACTGATCGGGTATTTGACAGCCCAACACACCGTGTCATTGTTCAACTGCCGATTAAAGCACGGCCTGTCCCTTCAAAAACGGTGAGATGTGTACTGAAACGAGCATTTTGGTATTTTTCTTACGATTGCTGCAGCGGTACATATTTAGAAATATTACCCCGTTTTTGTGTATCACTCCTGTTTGTACGGGCAGCAGCGCCGTGTGAAATGGTTTGTGTTGATGTGCCAGTCCCAAATAATCTTTATCATTTTTTTGTTCTGTCATTTACCGTGCAAATGGTTAATTAGGCCGGGAAAGATGGACACGTCATAATACCGGTATACACACGGGTGGACAGCATGGTAAGAATTGTAGGTGTAATAAACATTTTAACATGCCTTGTACGCATATCCCACCACATTTACCACACCATCACGCAAATCATTAAAACCGCTCCTCATCTCTTCTCGCCAATCAGTCCACGGTAATTCTTGAAGCACTGTACCAACGGGTGGTAAACATATCAGCGCTCAACGACCAAACAATTCTTTACGTCGTGTATACCGCACATAAACGGACCAGCAGCTACAGCACACAAACTGATCGCAAAACCGGTCTTGCAAACACTTCTTCGTTGTGACTTGTACTCTGACACGTTTCAACGTGTTATGGTGGCACAGCCTTGGTACCAAACCATGAACACGTTGCACCACGCCATACATTCTCATCCACGTGGCAACAGCGATTTACAATGCTCTCATTTATCGCACCACAAGCTCACCAATAGTATCGAATGCAGTATATTGTGCAGTTAAAGGCAAGTACAAGTCTAAATGACGTATACACCTCCTAAATACGTGTGTGCTGGTGCACTTGCAATCAAAATTTATTGCTCCTCTCACACGAACACGTAATTAATGTGGCAAGGCTGATTAAGGAACATGGTTTGGACGAATTGCGGTACAAAAAGAGAAATAGTGTGCAGAAAGTGAAGAGAACACGAAATGAAAACGTGGTAAAAATGTAAATGGTGGTGCACAGCAGTACTACCGGTTATGGCTGAATGGTATAAATATGAGTGGAAGTGTACGACCGTGCAAATACGTGGTACGAACATGATGTGATGCACCGGTACTGCCATCTCAAACACAATACCACGTGTTACCATAAAAGACACTCAACCTAATCGTACGAACGGACCGGTCATGCCGCACCATAAATAACAAATGTGCAGTACCACAGCACAAAGCAATGGTTAAGTACCTGTCTCATCCCTAAAAGTGATAATTATCACTTCCATTTTCAAAATGAGAGTTTATTTACATTACAGAGCAATCGGTGAGTGACCGGTACATCGGTACGAATGCGTAGCACGGTGTAGCACCGGAAGTAGCAGCTAGCAGAGCGTGGCAGTAGAAATGCTATGGTATCAAACACTGGGCTGTGCGCGTAAAATAACGATTTGTTCTTGAATAGCACGTGTGCGTGCCAAGCAAACATCAATATGAGCTATGAAGTGGTGCAGTGGAGGAGTAGGTGACTGTAAGCAAACAAAACATGAACACCCCGTCACTTTTTACTTTTAAAGTGTTATTAAAACAAAACATTTTTTTTGGTGCTACCGCGGTTAAACCGCAGTATGATGCCATGAAAACGTACTTTCGGTTGATAAGACTGTGATTAAATCACTGTCTCTCGCAGAACGTGGTGGTAGTACGGAGGAGTATGCCACAAAATTAAAATGCTTCTTTAAAGAACGTATCCGTTTGTTACACTGAGCAGCAACCGAAACACTGATATGTATGTGAGTGTTAGGTAAATTCACCAAAATTGAACAAATAGCATTGCGTTCATTATACAGTTCCGACCACGTATCCAATCAAAGGAGTACGTTCCTAAAAATATTTCTTAGTTTAAACACACACACCTCGCTCGCACCGATCCAAACCTTTTGTGCGATAAGAATCTTAAAAATCCGTTGTAAGTCCTTGATCAGAGACCGAATATAAAAAATTTTAATGTACGAAACACGATCGATGAACCAAAGGCTAACAAACCACAAAAGTATGCTGCTCGTGTGTTGCAGGAGATAAATAAGCGTACTTTCAATTAAAAAATACGAATCGCACGGTAATAAATGTTCTGTTGTGTTGGGGGCGTGCCAATTGCTGCATGTGTTCTGTTTATTGTTCTGTTCTTCCTATCGCAGCTCAGCGTTGTTTGCGTTTCGTATTCGCACTCAATCGTGCATTGATAGCACAGTTTGCGGAGCATTCTTTGATGTGCACAATCACCAATGATGACGGTCAGTTCCTGTCCAATAACAGTTCTTGTCTAATAATAGTCACAGTCTAATGATAGTTCTCGTTAACAAACGATAGATAATCCCATCCAATTATAATACCAGTCCAATAAATCCTTTTCTCACTGATACGGTCATTTTGCTGTCTATACAGTCATAATCAAAAAATATTTTTCTCAACAAGCTTGCGAACCGAATTTACAAGTCAAGTCCATCAACCAAATTCATGGCAAAATAAAACTAATACAATTTACGTCTCCTACCTTCTTATTCATACAATTATCGTCTCCTATCTCCTCATTAATACAATTTGCGTCTCCTACCTCCTAATTAATACAATTTACGTCTCTCATCATTCAATTTTTCCATATATCATCATTTCCATTCCCTTTACATTCTTAATAACTACCAAACAGGTAAAAAACCACATACTCTACAATGGCACATATAAAGACAACTTTTTATTACGCCGTATTTACTAATTAAAGGATTTAAAAATTTTTAGACACCGGGCTACACCACCACAATCACAACAGGACGCTTACCAAACGATCGGCACCCAAACATACATATCACGTGCATATTTTCGTTATGTGCTCGTACGAGCACATCTCTGTAGTTTTGTTAAATGTTACTGTTTATTAACGCTTTCTTTCTTCTTGTTGCTGGTTCCAAAATTTAAAAATTTCAATCACACATCAAAATATTTAAAGGAAAATGAATTATTAAAATTATAAAGCATGCATAAAATAGGGAAAGATATGGAAAGAGAAAGAAACGGAGAAATGAGCGAGTGGAGTGGAAATAGCAGTAGTAATGTGCAGGGAAAGGGTGGATATGATGTAGTGGGTGAAGAAGGGGGTGGAAGAGAGAGCAGCTGGGAGAGGTGTGATACAGAGGATTTGGGGAGTAAGGAGGAGTGCCTGGAGAGTGATGGAGAAGATAGAAATGGCGGAAATAAAGGTGTGCGTGATGTGGGAATACAGGTAAATGGAGATATAGGGGGCAAGGAGGTGGTAGTTTATGTTAAGAAAGATGTGCGGGAAAATGATGAGGAACAGGTTAACAAAGAAAATAGTGAACATGGTGGTAACGAGGGTAAAAGTACCAGTGAAATGGTGGGTGAGCGTGGTAGCAAGGAGGAACGTATTACTTTAAAGGACGAGGAAAACGAGGACTTAACGAACGTAATGAGAAGTGATGGAAATGAAGAAATGAATAAAAGAAGGAAAATTAAAGAGAATGATGGGGCAAGCAAGAACGATGAAATGACCAAAACCGCTGAGGCAAGCAAGAACGATGAAATGACCAAAACCGCTGAGGCAAGCAAGAACGATGAAATGACCAAAACCGCTGAGGCAAGCAAGAACGATGAAATGACCAAAACCGCTGAGGCGAGCAAGAACGATGAAATGACCAAAACCGCTGAGGTAAACACCGTCAATTCCAATGAAAGTAGCAGTCATGTCCCTGCACACATAAAAAGTGAGAGAAAACGTACGGTCATCAACATGCACATCACAGATCACTCCGATAGCACAAACAGCATGCGCAACAATCAACCAACCATAACTTCGTACGATTACAGTTGTTACGGCAATTGCTGCGGAAACGATGGCAGGACGAACAGGAACGAGAGCAATAAATGCGTGAAAAAGGGCAATAGCGGCAAACGATACGTAATCTTAAGCACGAACGAAACATTCACGAAGAGCAACGATGAGCACAGGAGCGGCACATTCCTCATCAACAGCATAAACGAGCAGCGGTACCTGATGTGGTGCGAGATTGCCATTGTGTACGAAATGATGGGCAATCTCAAAATGTACGGGCACGCGATTGAAAACGCGCTCAAAATACGGAGCGGAGTGGAGGCACTTATCATATACAGCAAGCATAGGTACGTCAGTGAAAACATGCACACAAACCACAGCGTGAGCATCGCATACTTTAACACGTGGGTAAGGGAGCACAGGAGAACGGGTCTTTCCATTCTTTTGGAGTGCTACGCGTTGATGCGCGATGCGCAGATTCACAAGTTTGAGAGGAAGTACAATGAACTCAGGAAATGTGGGCGTATGCTTGAGAACGAGGTGCTTAAGATTGAGAACACCGGCTATGATCCATGTCAGTGTGTAGGTCCTACATTCTCTGCGTGCAAAGACATCATTGCTTTGAAACATGCCAGTTCGTGTACGCATGACAATGCTGCTGGCTCTTCTCCTAGTGCACACAGCAAGGAGAACTGCATAAATAACGAATGCATAGATTTCTTTTCCGATACGTACAATACGGATGGCAAGAAAATGAACAATGCTACAATACTTGACCTGAAGGACAAGCAGTACGATGAGATACGTTCTTTAAATGTGAATGAAATTGTTTATGGCGAGTTGACCGGTAGTAATGAAGTACAGAGCAAAGAAATTGGTACTGGGAGTGAAATACAGAGCAAAGAAATTAGCAACACGGGCAGCAGTACAACAGATAATAGTACAAAAAATGGTACGGAGGAGAGCAAGACCGATCTTTTAAACGGTACTAGTACGGAAGATAGAGTTGAGCATGGTTCTGTACGTATAGATGGCAATGATTCGAAGGGTACAGATCAAGGGAATGGCACGGACGGGGGAGTTGGCAACGATCAAAGCGCTTTTCCGAGCAAATCTGATCAGGGACTGCCGGACAAGAAAAATAACGATGACCAAACGAGCTGCACATGCAGTTCATCAAAAACTCCTGCCCACAACTTCTACGTGCTCAACAAGCACTTCCTGCTATTTTACCTTTCACTCGTGGTCCTGTACTACGAACGGACCAACAGGTTGCATCTGTCGTACCGCCACATCATAAAATACCTCTCTCACTCGTACAAGCAGGGTGAGCGGTTGGTAATGCTCTTCAGGCTCTCGCTCATTCTCAAGCAGCGCAAAGATTTTAAACCTGCAAAGCGTATCCTTAACGTGCTCAAAATCCTCTTAGAACGCAAAATGTGCACGATAAACGTGCTAGACGTGCATGCACAGCTTGCACATCTGCACTTTGTGCATGGTGCTGTTGGTAAGTGTTTAAAGCTGGTGAACACTATCCTGCACGTTGATCCGCATCATCTGTTCAGTAGTGTTCTGAAAATGGAGTGCCTGTTCAACACAGACGTGGTGAGATGTGCCAAGTACTGCGCAAACATGGTAGGACGGGTCGTACAAAGCGAGTATTTCCTGATGCGCTGTTATTTCGCTATGGGCATGTTTGAGCAGTGCCTTGACATCTACAGGAGCAGGAAGAGAGGCGAGTACATCACAGAGAGCACAGATCACCGTTCACGTACTCGTTACCGTACAGAAATCGACAAGTACTTCGCCAATACGATCGGTATCGTGTACTTTAACCTTAAAGACATGCCGAACAGCCTGGCAGCATTCACAAAAGCCCTTTCAATCGATAACGATTTCAGAGAGGCAAAGCACAACCTTGCATTCGTGCAGCACACCACCAATTCGCTAACTGCCAAAGAATTTAATGTTTATGCTTCTGAAAAGACCGAGTTTAGGGAGGTAATGCCTAGTGTGGGTGATCCCGTGTTTCTACCTCCGTACCTTTTTATAAATTGTATAAATAAATGAAGACATACATTCTATCATAGATAATACGTACGTATTTTGCAGGAGTGGTGTGATTAAAGAAGGTTTACTTGCTGATTCAGTATTTTGTACTTTTTTTATTGTATTTCATACTTTTATTGTATTTTGTACTTTTATTGTATTTTGTACTTTTATTGTATTTTGTACTTTTATTGTATTTTGTACTTTTATTGTATTTTGTACTTTTATTGTAATTTGTACTTTTATCGTATTTTGTACTTTTATTGCATTTCGTACTTTTGTCGTATTTCGTACTTTTATCGTAATTTCGTACTTTTATTGTAACTTCCTACAAGCACAATAAACACATTATCATAGGTCTTAAACGTAATACCTTGCCATTAATTACTATACCGGTCATACACTTACACATACTTTTAATTTTTATGTTGGTAGTTGGTTATTACGGTATTGTGCAATGTAAAATATGGTTATTAACAACGTTGCTTAGGTAAGAAGAACGTGGTGTACATACGTATGAACATGTTTGTGGATGAGAAACGATATGTGAAGATATTGGCGAGGTAAACACATTAAAAGTATAATTAAATGATCAAGTAGTGGGATTAATGCCGTTAACAAGCTCAATTGATGCTCTTAAGACGATAACAACGGAGTAATGGATGAATGTACCGTTTGGATGATTTAAAAACACAATTATACGTGCTACCGAGCATAATACGCTATTAAATGGCGTACTCATGCGGTCTAAGCAGATCATATCGGATAAATGATATGAACTGCATGCAAGGGGTGGTCGCAATAATTTGGAGGAGAAACGGTTCTCCCTGACGTATCGAACGATGAGCAAGTCTTAATTAATTCTTGTATGTTTTAATTACTTTCTTTTACAAACTTAATTACGGTAAATATACCGGTTAGTGATCAACATTTCCTAAAATAGCTTTTGATTCGAATATGTGAACAGAAATGGTAGAATTGAAAATGATAACGTGTACCCGATCAGGAAGATACAACAGCACCACCGGTGCTTTAAAGCGTTTTAGCAGTGATAAATGCTGGTAACGGGTTGTGTCGACATCTTGGCCACAGTAAACGTTCAACTCATCGTATGATCTATTTTCATCGTTATAGCGCACGCTTAACGGTGCATCTGCTCCACAGCTAAGTATATTGGGAACAAAAAAAACATTTCCGGAATAAGAATGTATCAAGAATGGAAATGGTGACGTGCTCCGTTTACGTACGGTTCTATTAACAGAATGAGCGCTTGTCAAGCACGTATTTGGATAGCTTGATTCTAAAAGTGGACAGAATTACCAAATGAAATATCGTTTACATACGGACACATGGCTCAAAAGGAACGGGGTTGGATTTTATACATTTAGAATTGGCCGGTTACCCGTGATTGGAAATACTTCTAAATTAATGACCGCTATCAAATGGCGTGTGAATGATGAGATTTGTTGCAGATGGTGCAAATGGCTGTCTGCGGGTGTATTTCACCACGGTATGAATTGTCTGAGGATTATGAGACTGAGATACGCCGCTCTCATAGCAATATAATTGGTATAGGATGTTTTGATGCTGCACAGCAGAAAGTAAAAGGACAAACACGCTGTGAATTGAGGTTGCTTCTTACGGAGTTGATTTAACTAAGCATGGTAGAGCGTAAACATTGAATATGTAACTGTGTCTGATTTATACTTCGGTGTTCAATAAAAATGCTGTACCTGAACCAAAGCGGTAGATGAAACATATGAACGCTGAAACAATCTATCCGGTGCAAAGGATTGCATTATCATCGCGTATTAATGGATGCGACAGAACGATGTAGGTTTTGTCCTTTTTAGAATGAAAACATGGCAGGATGTGATACGAAAGGTTTGATTAAAGCTGGGACCTTTTAAACTATTGTTAAGTATGCGATGAAATAACAAATACAATTAAATATTGGGTAACGTGTATGATAGATGAAGTAAATTGAATATATTATTGCTTTATGATTGCTATGGATGTATTTTTGTGGCAACTGCCTGGTTTAACAATACTAAACACTCGTTCTTTCAAGTACACTTCTTATGGACCTACTCTGTTGCATTCCTTGGCGCCGATGGCATGTTTCAGCACAACCTTGTTGGAATTGTGAGCGGTTCACAGGGCCTTCTCGAAAAAGCGCTGATTATCGCTATCGTCATCGCAAGATGGTAGATGACATGAATCTTAGGAGATTCTTCGCTGCTGATGTATCGTGGCGTTTAAAACAGAAGTGAGCTGTTTTGATCACAAGGGTTTTACAGCTATGATAGGAGATACCTTGAGGATCGACAGGCCTTAAAAACTAAATCATACCAACATCAGTCAGAAGAAGCGAAAAAAGACTAATCGTAAAAATTTAATCTTTTTGTCCATGCAGAACATCTCAATGGTGAGAAGTAATCTTTGATTCAGCCCAAGCTTTTCAAAAACATAAACCGCTCTATAATCCTTGTCTCACCACCTGCTACAACATTTAATCATGTCGTTGGCACAACTACCTTCTACCATACTCGTTGCCAAAGTAGAGGCATTATCCGGTATTTAAGCTAAATGACACCGCTGTTCATTACAATAACCAGGTTCATGTTGGGCACCAAACCGAACTACAGCATTTTGGCATGATTTACGATTCTTCACATAGATTATTATTTATCAGTCGCGAGTGCAGCAAGCTTCTGTAGCTCAGTCGGTTTAGAGCGTCGTGCTAATAACGCGAAGGTCGTGGGTTCGATCCCCACTAGAAGCACTTTTTTTGTCACTGCATCATAGTTTTCGTTGTACAAAACAGCCCAATATTTGCCTGTAAAACGTCACACTACGTTGTTCAATGCAACTTTATTCATCATAAAGGTGTTGATTGGATATTTGCATCACTTTTATGTTCCACTCCCATTGCCCCTTCAATCATACGAACGAATGAAATGGCTTTCTTTGCCGCTTTCATCCCGACACACTCTAAATTCTTTTTAATTAAGTCGTGTCATTGAGAGGGATGATATTTCCTTTTCGAGATCGCTATAACAAACCAACATGCAGTAAATACGATTTTTGGTTGCCACAACAAAATGCTGAATCATCGCTACACGTAACAGTGGCGTAAAACATTTTGCATCTCTCCTTACCTTCTTTACCAGATCAAGGAACAAAATGAACGCATCCAAGCGGGCATGTATAAACGATATTCATCAAAAAAGACACCTAATAAAGGAAATACAAGTATTTCGTGTGTGTTGCTAAGCGATGCCGGTTTGGTATTTTTAAAATTTTAGCAAAAGGGTCATAGATTGGATGGTGCACGATTTCGTCGATAATGAAGACGATATCGGTAATTATATGAAGAAAGTAAGCGGTTCGCAGCTGACAACCGGTAATATAGTGTACTGTGATGATGGGAATGCATTTGATACCAAGAAAGAAGAAAATATAAAGAGCATACGGATGAAAGCACATGCCATGAAAGAGCGAATTGCTCATTTTGAGGATAACGAACTAAGATACGCACACCGAATGGTGCACCAGGAAAAGGAACGGTTGAAAAAGGACTGGCCAGCACTATTTTGCAGTGGCCATGCGCTTGAACGAGTGTTTGTGTACGTGGATATCGATGCATTCTATGCAAGTGTGGAAGTGCTTGTTGATCCTGTATCCGGTCCTTTGGCGGTCGGAGGTATGTCGATGCTAGCGGCTGTTAACTACGCCGCAAGAAAGTATGGAATACGGTCGGGCATGCCCGGTTACCAGGCACGCACCCTCTGTCCATCCCTTGTGATCCGGAAGTGCAATTTTGAACGGTATAACATGTATTCAGAGCGGGTGATGGGCATGCTGGCAAGGTTTGACGGGAACATAGAAATTTATGGACTGGACGAATGTGTGCTGGTGATAGATGAAGAGAAGATGAGAAAAGGATACGAGTATTTTTGTGAATGGAAGGGAGGAATTGAATGCATACTGAATGACTGTGAGGGTTGTTCTAGTTCTGGGATTGACACTACGAGTCTGTCGCAAAAACACGATAACAACCCACAGAGTATGAGCGAAATTGGCGGTTCGTGTAAAAGACGTGATGAAGGAACAAAAGTAGAATCTGAAGGCGTGAATAGCAAGGTAATGGTGAACAATGATTTATTCTGTGAGGTGCAAATGAATAAATTGGCTGAAAATGATTATTTTGCCGTGGAAGCCGAGGGCAAAGCTGCGAATCCTGAGAATGAATTTGTACTGGCCACACATGCTCAAAGAGAGGAATATAGCAAAAAAAAAGGATTGAACGTACAGAGCGGTAGAGATAATATTATTTTGGAAGATGGTATTGCTGAACACGGGTTGTATGAAGCGGAAATGAACATCACTAATAGAAAATTTGCACCAACTCATGGTAATGACAATTCTTCTTCATATGATACCTTTGTTGCTGCCGAGGTGTCGAGCAGTTCAATTTGCACGAGTCAGCCCCATCCTCACATGTGTAGTAAACACAAAAAGATAGTAAAAACGCTTCCATTCACCTTTAAGAATGTTGAACGGCTTGTAACCGCCATTCGTATGCACGCTAGAAAGCATATCGGACTTACAATAAGTGCTGGTATTTCCGTGTGCAGAGGGCTATCAAAACTGTGTTCAACGATAAACAAACCAAACGACCAATTTTCGCTCTCTTCAGGTGCAGAAAAATTCCTAAGTCCCATGAAAATCACAAAAATAACGGGTATCGGTCCAAAGACAAGTATCCTGCTCGAAAATGGCATGGGCATTTCCACAATCAGGGAACTGCACGCACACATGCACATACTGTACCTGGTGCTCAAAAGGAAAAGCTTCCACAATCTTTTCAGAATGTCTCACGGCTTGTCACATTTTGATGGTCCATCAGCAGATAGTATTACGATTCACAGGCAGCCGCATATCGATATTATGGCACGGCCCCCCTCCGTTTTATCAAACCAAAGTGTCAGCAAATCGCGAACGTTCAATCCGACGAATGATTATAAAATGCTGATGGACGTGCTGTGGTCGTTGTGCAAAAATCTTGGCCGCAAACTCACGGGTTCACAAGCAGCCGTGGTTACCATAACGGTAAAAACGGAGCACTTCCGAACAATTGTGAGGAGACAGCGCGGTGTGCTGCGCAATGATATACAAATACTTGATGCGTGTTCTGTACTGCTAAATGAGGCCGTGTCAACACTGTGTGCGTCGGTGAGCGATGATGTTACATCCTGTTACAGCTGTTCAAATAGGACAACCCGTCCAAGAATATTCCAGCACAATTTGCGACTGCGCCTCCTCGGTGTTTCACTGAGTAAGTTTTCGAGAAAAAGTCCTTTTTTCAAGAGAAGAAAGATGAGCATGGATGTAAAACGATGTATTGAATGCAAGAAAGTGTTTGTAAATGTGAGTGAAGCATTCTTCTACAGCCATGTGAACACTTGTCTTGATTGGAAGGAACAAAAGAACAAGAACAGCCTACTCCGATTTTTCAACACGACGAAGAAGGTGTAACGAGGTGAAATTTACTATGATCCCGGTGTTTCCAGGGCTAACGCCAATATTCGTTGCATGATACTCTAAGAACCGCCTGCTATGAACAGAATACTTGCTTTGGTCATCATTCTTATGAACGTAAATATAATCATCCTATTTACCATTGTTTTGGTTATTTTACCTCTTTGCATCCGTTGAACTACGTGTAAATCGCTTCATACCGTTTGTTAAGTCATTCATGTGCCAAGTGCAGGACCGTTTTTGTTGCAACGCCCCAACAAAAACCGTTAACCGCCTCAGAGCCCCCTCGTATGCAAGAAACCACAAAAGAAAACCCCAAGCAGTTCCTCAAAGCACGTATAGGTAAAAGAATACGCATATCGCTGAAATGGAACGTGGATTACGAAGGAATATTGGACGGCTTCGATGATAATTTTAACATCGAGGTATCGAGTGTAAGCGAATTTGTTGACAGTAAAATGGTAGGCAAATTGAAGAGAATGGTTATCAGGTGCAATAATATAAGAAGTATGGAGGATGTGTGTGGTCAGGAGTAGTAAAGACGCTATATGTATATTTTGTGTGTTTCACTGTTCTGGTACAATTACAACAATTTATTTCCGTTTTAGTACTGTGTTTGATGCAATGCGCCCACCCTGATGGTACGAGTATGTTGTTTGGAATACTGCTGCCAGGCTGAAGTGCACAGGATCAAGCAAAGAATCAGTTTTTGAGTCATAGGTGTGAGGAGATAAATAAATTTTTGGTAAAAAAGCAAAAATTTTGGATCGGTCTATGCCTGTATAATCGTGTTATGTTGGTGGTATTTCGCCAATCACCCAATGTTACGGTGTTTTTAGCTTATGGCACCGTGCTAATGATCAAACGTTCATTTTTAATGACACTGCTGTAGAAATAGCGGTTCTTCTGCTCACCAACGTGGAGTAGTGAGTGAATGCTGCTGTGTTCCTTGTGAATGACATTACACAGTTTAATTAAGAGACAAAATCGCAAATACGGTATAATTACCGGTTGAGAGTTTAAGTCCTTCACCTCGATCTGCAGTTCTTTACGAATTGAATGAAAGACCAACAGCAAAAGAGCGATCCGAAAAGATGCCACTGCAATTATCTTTTGGCTGCTTTAAGTTTACGATTGGTTCTTTTCGGGAAAAGTGACATTTGATGGAGTGCAGTAAAGGCTAAAAAAGCCCATCAAATCCAACATCATGACAAAACGGTTTGTTACATATGAAACTATTTTTATCTTGGTAGTGTTTACCTGCTGTGCTGCCGTTTTGGTTGTAAATGATGAGGAAAGAGCATTGGAGAGATACTCAGGGATTATCAGCAATGACATAACAAGGAATGGTGATTCAGAGGCTTTGCAGAACTATGAAGGTGATTCGAATAAGGACAATCTCTTAAAACCACAGATCAATAACTTAAGATATTTGTATGAGATTCAGGCTTTGAAGAATGAGTCAGCGATGAAAATGCGTTTTTTAACGTGTAGATTATCGTATTATCTGAGATTATACCGTGATAAGCTGTTTGCAACATTTATTTTAGATGGGCTTTCGCGTTTGGATGACCTATGCGATCAGGAGGCAAACGAAAATACTCGTAATCCCATTACTTTTAAGAATAATTCGAGAATGTGTTTAATATCTGGTGCTACGTCGGCAACAGGGAAGCATTTAAAGCAAAGCGTTACCAATTTCATCATAAATTTGAGGTTGGCCGTCGTTCATACCATTGATTGTAGCAGAATTCTCTTCAACTTCACCGCTCAGCTAATGCGGAACGCTTACAAAAGGTACAATTCATGGACACAAACGACTGAGGATTTAAACGAAAAATTCGTTGAAGAGATAGCACCTAGTTTTGATGAGTTATGCGATGCAATTGATAATGAGATGGACAAGTCTGGCGATGTTGCTAGCAGCGGACTTTTAGGGTCGATGAGTTACCGAGAGAAGAGATCGCACAATGTATGTCAGGGTAAAGACGTACAGGTGAACGAAAATGAATTGGAACCGTTAAGTGAATGCTCATCTACAAATATGAGAGGCTCTTGGTTGAAGTGCAGTTGTGAAGCACGCACCAGATATGAAAATCATCTAAGGCGCTGCAATGATTTCAGTGCAAGATCGTTCTTCCAATCGATCTATAAACACGTTCATCGCATGGATTACTTTCAAAAAATGCTCAGCCTTTATTTCAGGACTAAAAGAACGGGTGATTTGAGCAGGAGTGCTGCAGAAGGGACAAATTCGTACGATGAGGATATTAAAGAAAACGGCTCACCATGTCATAAAAGGCACGACAAAAAGCAATGTGACCGGTGTAAAAACACTGGTGAGAAAGGTTACAGTTTTGAGGTAATACTCATTATCGCAGCAATTATTTTTACTATTGCAATAGTAGCGTTTCTTATTATAACTGTAGTTGCTGACTGTTGCTCCAAATACAAATAAAAATATTGTAGAATGTAATCAGGTAATTAGCGATTCATAACTGGACTGTATGGCTCAATGAAGGCACTCATGGTGCCACTTGTTAGAATAAGTTTCTTCTTGGGTCAACACTAAATGAGCATCCGCTTTAACCGCCATTAGCGCCAATGGTGTGCTTTTGATTTGCTAGAACAGGGCTGTTAAACAGGCTTAGCTAAAAATACTTCATCCAATATCTATTAAAAGGAACTTCTCAGTGCACTAGGATATCGCATCAATGAACAAATCACGCTGCTGAATCATAAACTGGTTTAGGTCGCTTCGTGCTTGCAGATCGCTGTTTGGAGTTAACACCGAGGAAAAAAGGATTGAATTTAATTACTGCTCCAGATGTTTTCACATCATTCAGCAGCTAACTTTTTTCGCTAAAAGCATGTTGATCCTCACATATCAACAACACCTGAACAGCACGCTTTTGTGATGCGCTGGGAACGGCTGTGGCCACTGGCATTTAGTTCATAGAATAAGCATTTAACCTTCAATAAACACTCTTTTAATTAATGTATGCTTCTTATCTCACCTAACGCGCATACAATGAATAGAAAAACGCCCAAGCCGTGTTTTCTATACTCTTACAATCTTTAAATGAGTGCCTGGTACTTTCTCTGGTTAACGCATTTCTACTGCCACAGCTCTGTTCTTTGACCTTTTAACAAAATTTTTTCTACCCCCCCTCATGGCCAGCAAACTTCCCGTGTGCTACCTAAACGTTAAGAAAGATAAAACAGTGCTCGGTACTATAAAGATAGAATTGCGCATGGACGTGGTTCCAAAGACAGCTGAGAATTTTCGTGCGCTTTGCACAGGCGAAAAAAGGTACGGCTACCAGGGCAGCACGTTCCACCGTATCATAGCAAACTTCATGATTCAGGGCGGCGATTTCACCAACCATGATGGAACGGGTGGGCACAGCATCTACGGTCCGAAGTTTGATGACGAGAATTTCCAGCTGAAACATGATAATGAAGGTGTAGTCTCGATGGCAAATGCCGGACCAAACACCAATGGATCGCAGTTTTTCATTACAGTTAATAAGACAGAGTGGCTGGACAACAGGCATGTTGTTTTTGGACGTGTGGTGGAGGGGATGGATGTGGTCAGAAGGATCAGTGAGATGAAACAGGGTAACTCTGAGCCACCCGTCATTATTTACGAGTGCGGTGAGATTTAATCATTAAATGATTTTAATTGCGATGCGGTTTGGTGTAAGGTGACGCATTTCCGTTTATTGTGCGGTCATTCTCTATTGTGCGGTCGTTCTCTATTTGTGTGGTCATACCGCGATTAACCTTCAGTACTGATTTTTCATCGTGGTGTAAGAAAAACACTTAGGATCGCTCTGAAGACCTTCTTATATTTTTGGCGTGGGCAGAAAGTACGACCAATGATTGTGGTCGGTGTATTTACGAACTGTTTTGGTGAACTGTCCTCATTTAAAGGAGCGGAATACAAGACCGTGATGTTACGCAAATGAAAGACCCGATGCTGGTTTGTGTAGGCACGATCCTCTGTACAGTGGCAGGTGATAGCTCCCGTATGACCGGAAGTAGAAATTCCTTAGGTGTCCTTTTCTGCCATTCTATAACCCAGGTTTTCTGTTCCATTTTCTATCCTATCTTCCTCAGCCAACAAGTGTGAACCAAATCAATCAACATTTATTGGTAAATTAGCTCCTACCAGGACAATGCTTCGCAAAAATACTGATATATCCCTTATACATTACCATATTGTGCGCACAGCCGTAATGCAGACATATAATACGGTGCATCAATCATTTCGTAGAATAATACCACACACTTTTTCAGCACCTCACTCGTATGAGGAACTTGTCTTCCAAGTATTAAACCGAATCACTCTCTGTTTTTGACCACAACATCAAGCTCTCTGTTTAAGCACGTAACAGCAGCAGCAAAATCATTTTCATTGTCCAAGCGGTACAACCGTCCTCCACGTCGCACAAACAGTATGAAATGCTCGTTCAGATTGATATTATAGCCGTTGTTCTTCACCTTTCTATTCTTGCTATCAAAGTGTTCACACAGCCTTAACATAACCCGTCTGCAGAAATAGCTGTAAATGGGCTCGGTGAGAACAAAAAAGTTCAGGTCACCGAACTCTATCTGTGATTTTATGAGAGAGTCTATCTCCTGGACCGATGCATAGTGTTTCATTCTTGAACTCGGACCGGCCCTGTCACTTTTTGTGTGCTTTTTGTCCGAATTATTTCTTTTACTGTTGTTCTCCGTGTCTGCTGAGCATTCATTGCCGTACACGCGGCGCAGATCGTATTTAGCCCTCAAGTCTTTTCTGCTGGTACACTGATCGATGTATGACGGGTCGTGTTTTGTCGATTCTTTGCTACGTTTGCCTTCCCTGCTGTTTTTGCTGTCTTTGCCACTTTTGGTACTTTTGTTGTCCCTGGTGCTTCTACTGTCTTTGACACTTTTGCTGTCCTTGCTGCTTTTGCAGTCTTGTCTGCTCTCTTTCGCTTCTCTATTCCTTTGGCTTCCTATGCTGAACACCTCATACGCTGTGTCCGTACTTATATGATCAATACTCTCATTGTCAAGCTTATAAGAGACTGTTTCACCCTCATCGTTTCCAACAACCCTTTTCCCTACTCTTTTTCCCACCTTTACGCCAAGGCTGTTCACCTTCACACAGAATTTCTCCATGTTGATCTCGTCTTTAAACCCAATCAGCAGAAACTGCTCGTTCCATTTCATCTCTATGTACATGTTATCTTCCCTTGTGAATGTCAGTTGGTCGTATTCGATCGTTTCTAGCTGCTCAAGGTCGTGCTTTGATGACTGCGACTGCCTGGGCGGTGCGGTTGCAATAACCACGCACGAGGGAAGAAAGAACAGGTACACAATGGTCACGTTGTTCTTGTAGATTGTTTTTGTGCGGTAATAGAACTTCGGATCTGAATGTGCAGTCCTCCTAAGGAATGATGATATCGTAGATTTTGGTAGCATTTTCTATCCTGTGGTTGGGAGATTCCGTGCTCGTTCTTTTTTCTTTTTGTGCTCCTTTTCACAAACACTTATTGGTGTATTTTGTATTGCGTGCGAGTGCTCGTGCTTTGATTCGTCAACCAGAGTTTCAGTGATCTTGCTTCGTTGCAAGATACGGTGACAGATGCGTAGAAAAAGTAACAAATCACTGTGAGTGATGAATAGAGATAGATTAAATAGTGAATTGTGGTGCCAAATGCTTTTGTGCCGTGCAGTTACCTCCAACCGGATAAACATTTGCTACGGCAAGCACCCGTTCGTGTACGGACAGGCAATCGTGCCTATTGCCCTGCAAAGATGTGATCTGACGGTTTAATTAACGATACCTCGTTACGTTAGGAACTTGGAAGGTGTGCATCACGAACATAAGGCCTTTGCGCTGTGGTAAACGCTTACCCGTCGCAAAAAGAACGTTAAAGCAGATTAGCAAACGCAATTTAACCAAACACTCTTGGAATGAGAACGTGCCATGACTGGCACATGCTGAAAAATTAATAAATTGCTGCAATACCGGTTGAGCTTATGGATGTATACGGTAAACCAGGTTCGATCGATTGCTAGAATTGGAGCCGTTGCTGCGAATTCTGACCAAAAATACACCAAACAGCCCATTTTTACGCTCACTCGCTAAATAATTGCACAGCACGATCTACCGATGCAAATTTTGCCACGAGAATTAATCATGAAACAACCGGTTACTCTCAAATCATTGATCGTTGCCTCAATTGCAGCATATGCAATGATTAAAGCATAGCTAATTAATTATTGTCAAATCTAACATTTAATCACACGAAAAACTTTGCCCATGTATTCTGTCCTAGTAATAGGCTCGGCAGGTGCAGGTAAAACAACATTCTCCCTCAACCTGTACGACCACCTCAGTGCACACAACCACAGCCCAACTTTAATAAATCTTGATCCTTCCCAGCAGAGCGGTAACACATACCACCATGACATTTGTACCTACATTACGACCCAGAACATAATGGAGGCTACTGATCTTGGACCGAACTCATCCATTTTAAATGCATTCGCAACGATGGCCGATAATCTGGAGAACATGGAGATTGAGGGCTACTGCGTGGTGGACATGCCTGGTCAAATCGAAATTTTTGTACATTCTGAGTCTTTTCTGAGGACCGTTGAGTATTTTAAGGAACATAGCCGCTGTGTAATTGCGAACGTGTTTGATTCCATCAATTTCAAGAGCGTAGAAAGATTCCTTGGGAACGGGATGAGCATGTGCATGTGCGTGGGACGAGTTGATCTGCCCTTTATCAATTTGGTAAGCAAATGCGATCTTTTCTTGGAGAGCGACCGGGATGAGGACTGTACAAATGACGATTTGGATCGGTTTGACGGTGATCTGTGCTTTGACCAATCGCTTTTGGAAACGAAATTTCATAACGATCTTTATTCCTTCCTTGAACAGAACAATGTTCTGAATTTTACGAGGATACGTTACACCGAGGAGGGAATGACCGATATTATTTACATGCTTGATAGCGTTTTACAGTACTACGATGATTTAGATTACATAGAGCCCCGTGAGGAATGAGCAAGGTCTGCGTACAAATCAGAACAAAGACACGCATGCAACATTCACCGGTATTAATCATTAAAAATGTATCATCCAACATTCTTAGCTTGTTACAGCACCTCCACGCTTCCGGTATGTGTCTTGGTACTTGCTCCAGCTACGGTAAAGATTCTTGTACCACAAAAATTAAAACGTGATTGGCAAGCACAAACTGTTCGAAGAGACGTGTTCTACAGAATTTATGGCTATTATCGCTGTAGAAAGACGGTCTGTTTAATTTTGATGTAGTACTATGACTGTTGGTGCAGCTGAAGCGAAGAACCTCTTGCAATTAAAATAATGAACTTCTGTGACTAAAGCAAGGAGCTGCAGGAAGCTCCTTCGTACTAAAATGTTCTTCTCTGCTTGGTATGTACCAAACATTTACAATACAGGATGTATCCACACCACGCCAAGCATCAAGGTTGTTAGATCAAACACACCAACGCATGGTAAGGCGTGAACTGAGTAAGTGATAGATTTACTCACTGAAACACGAATTGCAACTTGTAGCACGAATCTCTCATTTCAGTAAACGTGGAATAAAAATTTTGATAAACGAATGATGGTGACACAAATTAGCTGCTGCTTCACTGTTGAGTTAATATTCAAAGTACAAAGCATTTTTATTTATAATTCCTTCATTATCACACGGTACATCGTTTGTTCTGGTCAGTTGAAGGCACCTACCGTGATTACTTAACCCTTGGTCCTAGAGGAAGGCACAGGACGGTCATTCTGCTGATTCACTTCCTTCGCACATTTGTGCTGCATGTAAACCGATCATTGCTGTAGCAGAGATGCATATAGCACGGAAAATACACCTGTGGCTGCCCAGTCTTTAAAATCTTCCCAAATAGCATTTTATCTTGCCATCCTATTGAGAACATCCGTTTATGTTTCAGGGCTCCATCTTTCTTGGCGTGTATTAAGCCAATAGCTCGTCCTGACCGAATTGTCACAGCTTAGGTATCGGCAACTTTCTGGTACGAACAGCACTTCGTAGCGCAGCAAATAATCATCAAGAAATGGTTGTTGCGATATCAAATGATCAGCGTATTGCACTTTTACTCTGTGCGAGTCCGAGAGCATCAAAGCGTTTTGACCGACTGACTGCTGGCAGGATAGAATTCCTTGCAACGTTACCTGCCAGTTCATCCGTAATCATGTAAGGGCCGTCATTATCTCAGGTTTATGAGCCGAAAGAAGACAAAAACGTGAGATAATGAAAAAATTTTCATACAAAGAGTGGACAAAAACCTTCCAATCACATTAATAGTCCATTTTTAACATCATATTACGACTGAACATGTTATGCATCCAAGCAATAAAGCGGTGCACATAGAATCAAAGGTGCAATATCTTATGGTTACGTTGCTCAACACCTCATGAGTAAGAAACTAAGCATTCATAAGCCGTGTTGTTGCACGTCTTCTGTGCGATTACTTCTACCCATAGGAAGAGAAATGTAAAACGTAGACCGTGATGTCGCGCCATATACGAAAATAAACAGAATTTGCTAGAAAGATAAAAAATAGTTTATTCCTGCGTTAACTGCCTACACCATGTTGGCGGTACGGTTATTCGTGCCTATTCCGCTTTTCCTGTCTAACACAGTATTAAATCGATTATCCCAGGTATGTTACCATTCTATCAACCATCCCAGTACTATTGCATCACGATCAGCCATCACAAATACAACGAATTACAGAACACGATGTCCCTCTTAATCTTACTAATACCCTCTCCAAAAATCCTTTCCATCTCCAAATTACCAATCGCTCGCGCTGCGCAGCTTAGCTGTCTGAGCATCTCGTCCAGTCTCTTCAGACAGCGCACTATGCTGCCCTCAAACACCTGTGTCCTGGCTGTCACACTCTCAAAGGATGCACCAGCTGCCCACATCCTCACCACATCCATAAGTTCGTTAGAATAAGGGAAATCCTCCACCTGTACATTCAGGCCAACCTGATTCATCACCTTAACCACGTTCTGTACCACCTCCTCGATTATTTTGTAATTTCGCAGTGATTGTTCACTTACCTCAGCGTCCTCCTTTTCTGTGAATACAAGGCAGCTCAGAAGGCTCACCACTTCAATCACACTGAGCTTGAGGAAATGACCGTTGAAGATGAGCTCGGTCAGCACAAGTTCCTCGGTGTTTAACTCGCATGCCACGCGCCCCTTCACCGTTACGCTGTTGTTATCGTAGTAGTCCAACCTTCTAAGCACCTGTATCATCTTAGTGCATTGGTCTATGTGATCGATACGGCTTGCTACGAATAGCTCGCTATTCTTCGTGTTGTAAACGTTGTTCAGATATTTAAGGATTTTGTTCTTGAGCACGGGGCTGGCCGTGCACGGCAACGAAGTGCTTGTCGATGAGTCACGGCTTGTTTCCTCGTCTTCACTCTTAGCGCCTGATGACTGATCGCTGTCAGCTGTTTCGGCACCGGACACATCGGACTCATTGTCAGATCGGTCTAAGCATTTATTGCTAGGCAGCTTGTTAAAACGGTCCTGATCACCGTCCGATCCAGTATTGCCATTAACTCTCCCATCACATGATCGTTTACCAGACTTTTCATCCTGGTACACATCCTCACGACTGATCGACCTGCTGCCATTCGGCAGTGCACCACTGTCCGACATGCCATTGCTCGCATTCACATATCCGCTCATGTCGCCGTTTGAAACACTGTCCGTTTTGTATTCCATGGTCATTGCTGAATTCACCTCGATCGGGTGCTCCTCTTCCTTTTCAAGCATCTTCTCATCCAGGCCTTCGATGCCTGCTCCTTCCATAAATTGCTCCAACACCCCAAAGAAGCAACGCTCTTCCAAACAGGCAGCACTCACTTCTTCCTCACAAATCGTGCAGTAATGCCCGGTCACGGGCGTGCCGTACAGCAAGGAGTACTTCCTTCCCAACCTTTTGTTATTTATTTTGACACGGGCATCATAAATTGCCGATATATCGCACAGTCTTATGCACTTGCGCTTCATTTTGTTGGTCCTGTTGTACAAGAGCACGACCACCTCTAGGTTCACATCTTTTTCTCCTTTTTTCTTTTTGTCCTTCAAACCACTCACGCTGCTTATTATGCAGTTCTGTAAATATATAGGAAATCCGTTCACGTTCAACGTCACGTCAATAAGTCGTCCTTTCACCAGCAGGTCTGACAGGCTGAGATCTTCTAACTTCCTTTGTGATAGCGCGTCGTTTACAAATTCAAATTCACCCGTGTTACTATTTTCTCTCTCACCGTTTTCATGCATATCATTATTTGAATCATTATTTTCATGCAAATGATCATATAGCGTGTTGCTGTTATGCGCATAATCTTTCAGCTGGTTATTTGCACAAGCGTTGCTGACAGCTGAACGCTCCTTATCAATTCCCTCATCACTCACCTTAACACCTTCCACCTTGCTCATTAACCCATAAAAATAGTTCACCGTGTCTCTGAGCCTCTCAACGCCCTTAATCTTCTGATAATGGAAAAAAGACCGTTCTAGAACATAAACAGGGTCTAGACCCTCGATCTTCAGAAGGTTTAAAATCATGTTATACGTGAGATGGAAAGCTGACTGTAGCGGATTGCTTCTTCCGTTGAACAAAGCAACCGCACTTTCAATATTGATCGCCTCTGTAAGTATCGATATGCAGATGCCCTCCTTGTCGATACCGCGCCGACCAGCACGGCCACTCATTTGGATGTACTCGCCTGAGGTGATCGTGCGCATCTTCTCGCCATCAAACTTGAAGAGCGTGGTGAACAAAACGCATTTAGCCGGCATGTTCAGGCCAATTGAAAATGTTTCGGTGGCGAACAGCACCTTGATAAGGTTCAGCGAGAACAGAATTTCAATGATTTCCTTAAGAACGGGCAGCAAGCCCGAGTGGTGTATTCCTATGCCACGTAACAGCAGCGGCAGCATGCTCTGTATGGGTGTAAGTGCTCTGTCTTCCACACGCAGCGTCTCCAACGCCTTGTTGAAGATCATCGTGACGTGTTCCTTCTCTTCAGTGCTGTTGTAGTCCTCTTCAAGACAGGTAGCAAAGTTCTCACAGTCCTTGCGCCGAAAGTTGAACACTATAACGGGTAAAAGGGCCTTTTCTGTGAGCAGGCCAATTATAGCCTTTATATCTGCGTAATCCACCCTGCTCTTCTTTATGTTCTGGATTGCCTCATTGAACATCTCCACGTTAAAATCAACGGTGCTCGTGGGGCTATGGGCCTTAAGCGCTTTTTTCGTGGCCTTAAACACTTTCTTTGTGTTCCTTTTCTTATTCGTGCTCTTCTTGTGTTTCTCTTCCTCACGGCCCTTACCACGATTGAACCTCCTTCTATCACCCGATGTATCATCATGTCTTTTATTGCCTCTTGTACCTCTTCCACGCCTTTCATCGCCCCCAGCCAATCTGTCATCACTTGATTCCGTGCTCGTATGATTGTCCATTTTCGTACCGTCTACCCCACAATATCGCACATTAGTTCCTCGTCTACTGCTACTTTCGGTGTTGCGTCTGTTATCGCCCATATTTCTTCCTTTTTCGCCCTTTTTACCATTTCTTGCACCACACAGCGCCCCTTCCTTTGTTCTCCTAGCCGTGCACCCACGATCGGTGCGCTCTCCATCATATCCACCGGTCACACGATCCTCATCATTTTCCTCATCAACTGCAGCATCACTGGCCACTGCATCGGTCTCGCCACCGCCTTTAATCTTGAACAGACTTTTTCCGCCCACAGGAAACACGTAATGAATGAGGGGCACCACACGTCTGTCATTGCTAACAATGTGGCACACCCTTCCCTGCACGTTTACAACCCATTCAGCAAACTCATTTGCATTTGGCAGCGTAGCAGACAGGAATACGCAGTTAAAGGTGCTCAAGATAATGCACTCCTCCCACACCACTCCACGTTCCCTATCTGTCATGTAGTGAATCTCGTCAAAAATTACAAACTTAATCTCCCCAACAAGCTCGTTAGAGCGATAAAGCATGTTGCGCAGTATTTCAGTGGTCATTACGAGCACACTTGCCTTGGGATTGAGCGTGCTGTCGCCGGTGATCAGGCCAACATCATCAAATTTGAGCTTGAGCTCACGATACTTCTGATTAGAGAGCGCTTTAATGGGTGAGGTGTACACCACACGCTGCTTACGTTTGAGTGCCAGGTGTATGGCGTACTCCGCAATGGCGGTCTTACCACTTGCTGTATGTGCACATACGAGCACGTTTTCGTCCCTTTCCAGTGCTATGCACGATATGCGTTGGAACAGATCGAGTTCGTACGCAAATATTTCTGTATCGATAGGTTGTGCCAGGTCTATGTCCGTGTATGGCATTCCTTCCGGTACTATGGCCTCGTGCGAAGTGTTGTCACGGCATATCTTGTCGGTACAATGCGTCTTCTTATGTAGAGTTACCTTCTTTTGGGGTACCTGTAGTGTTGTCGTGTCTTTGAATGCTGATGTAAAATCAATTTTCATCTTTTTGTCCATTTATCGGATGGGGCAAGAATTTTTTAGGCGTTTTGTGGTTTGAAAGATGAAATGGCAGTTGTGCAGGTGCACCAGACGTTGTGGAGAAATGCTTAATTAGGTCGTATGGGGAGAGAGGTGCGGCTGAACAGCATTGCAGAGAGCCCTTGTTATATGCGAAGAGGTGTAGAACGGTATGCGACAAAGAAAGAAGGTAAAACTCATTATGTGGGAGGAGGAGTGCAGTTGAACTGATGTCTGCAGTAAATTGATGACAATGATAAAAAGTAAGCGATTCGATAACGCAGCTATAACACGCTCTTGTGCACTTACTATGAACATTTGCACCAGCAGTAAAACACTGTTTGTACATGCAATCCGAATACGGGACTGCCTGCAAAACATCAAGCAGATGAGCAGAACTACCATTTTTATTTTCATAATTTTTGTTCATTAGAATGAAGATGTAGGTATTGGTAAAAAAGGGGGTAGGTTGTTCAAGGGTATACCAATGCAATAATTCATTCATCTTAGCTCATCATTGATGACAATAATTCATCTATCTTAGCTCATCATTGATGACATGTAGCAAAATAAATGGGCATTATGGCTTGGCCATAATCAAAGGAGTATTTCAACCGAAAATACAGCGCATAACATCACAAAAGGTTTATCCACCGCACAGAAATGCGTTATAGGCAGTCTTAAACAAACTATCTACTCAAAGAATGCGATGGTTATTGCTACCTCTATTCTAAAACGAACATTCCCACAGATCGCGGTAAAACACTTTTGCAAACCAATTGCGTTCGTTTAACACATTTCCTGCTCAAAGACAGCATTCTTCAACACACTTTTTGAAAAGATGTGTTCATAACGATAAATCAGCTCAACAAGCCAAAATATTCAACTAGCAATTGGTTTTAGCCCATGAAGCATTTCACAACGCGTACAAAGCGGTTAAATATCCGGTTATTCTGTTTTTATCCAAATACTTAGAGCAAAATGGTACATAACATGTTGGCACCGTAATTACGGGTTTAGCACGAATAAAGAGCAGCGTAACAAATGGGCAACTACTCTACGACTGGAGCAGCGCTGCTGTACCATCAGAAATACGCTCTTATTTTACACACTAAAAATTTTTGCCCTGAGAATTCTCGAAGAACAGCGTTGGAGAATGCCGAGCAAATCGGCATCTCTGAGGAAAGTCCTCGAACACACGCAGAAATGCAGCTCATAAGAGTGATACTTTGTTATTGGGACAGTAATGCTGTTAGGTATCGGTCTACTGAACAGAATGAGGCTTACTCTCGAGAATTCTCCATTTTTAGGTAAAATGTTATTTTTTTTCATTCTACGGTTTTTGCCATGCTCTGTATTTGGTTGGTCTGTGGCAGTGCTGCACTGTTCAACGGTAATTTCTTCATGCCAACCCGAACAAATCGTTCTTCTACAACGGCACTGATACTAAAATTAGGGAGCACCAAATTTTAACAACAGAACTGATCGCTTTTTGAATGGTGATCTTGAACTGTGGTTCCTCTCGTAGGTTTGTTGTATTGAACGGTTTTCCTAATTTAATTGTGCAAAAGCTATCATCACGTATTGACATCAAATATCAATCGCAAACAACGAATAGCGCGCCTGTTGTACTATACTACCGTTTTAACATGTTGCACACCATTTAGAGCACTGAAATTGTGCCGTTCTCCGTTTACCACTGTCCTATCAACACGTTATGTTCACTTGCTGCTTTTCTCCTGTCAACACGGTTGTTCACCTTAAATGGCACGTATCATCGGTATTCGAATCATGAAACTGAGAAAGGAACGTAAGCACCTTTTTTCAGTGTAAACACGTTTGTTTTGGCACATTTGTTCTCTTCCAGTACTTTTCGCACGTTTATAACACTATTAGCTCATCGCACGCGCAAGAGACCACAATCACCAAATTTAACCCATCCCTGCCAAATGCTGTTAAACACCCAAATTGAGCAGAAAATACGAAACGTTCTAAACGTAAAGGACATGGAGATAAAAAAGACGTACGACAGCAACCAAAACGTAAACATACGCGTAAAAATCAAATCTCCTGATTTCAATGGTAAGGTAAGTGATAATTTATAATTTGAACTACTTGGAGAGGAACAGATTGGTGTACGAGATAATGGGGTTTGACTTTGAGAATGATGTGCATTCTGTTGAGATTGAGTGCGAATCTACCATGGATGAGATCAGCTAGGAGTGGTGATGGGACAGATGAGAAATAGCACTGCTATGAAAGGAATGGTCTGCCAATAAATCGGTTGTGATGCGGATGTATGCCTGCTGTGAGTATGAAAGCTTGTGTTTAGCGGTGCAATGTAGTGCCTCTTTTCGTTGCCAGGAGAGCAGGCAATGAGCAACTTTTAACGTATCGGTGCGCAATTTTTGCATTTTAGTCTTTAATTACGTATTTTCCTACACAACCGGTCCCATTAGAATACTTCCCTCATTTTTAACACATTTTGTTCCAGTGCTAAGCAATCAGCCCGTAAAAAACGTTTTGTGCCTTCGTTTACAACTGCAAAAATATGAATGGCCCTTTAGGTCCATATTTGCTTATTAAGGAGTACCGCTCCTCTACACCGTTACGTTTTTGTATTATTTTTTGTGTTTAGATTAAAAATGTACGAATCGCAGTATTTCACGCATCACCAGCGTATTTTTATTTTTTTTCTACCGTTAAAATCTTCGTTCCCATGCCAGCAATGAACAAATCATTTCATACAATAATTACAGTTTTTGGTAATGTTTCTTGTTCTACACACTGGTGCACATCAACCATGGTATTTTATGCTAATCATGGTATTTTCACATCAATCATGGTATTTCCACACGCAACCATGGTATTTCCACACGCAACCACAAATTATCAAACCTACTTTACCGCAACATACTGCAATTAACACGCATAATAAGTAAACGCACATATCATTCATATAAATTGCATTTTATCAATTTCTGATCCTGTGTTGCATTCTATAGCTGAACGAGTCATAAATTTACTTTCTTTTTGATCGTGCCTGTGTTATTGAATTAAGTGTTGCATCATTATTTGATCTTGGCTTTGGAGAACACGTAATTTAAATGGGCATATTTTGCAGGACACTCTTTAAAGGCTTAATTTATTCTACGAACGTACCGTCATGCTCAACCTATTTTACCTAAACCATCATATTTTTATTTAACTTGTTCTGATAGTACGTTCATCTGATTTGGTGATAAAATGCTGTGCTCTACGTACCGATAGATTTATGCTTTTCATTAAAAGTACGTTTGTTCAACGAATTGTTTTTTGTGGTGTACCGCATGCGTAAGCATTTCAACGAATTTAGTTTGATTTAAACCTACCGGTACATTAAAACGTTCATTATTTACTGCGCTGCAAACAACGAAGAACGACTGCTTCGCGCGTAAGAATAGACCGGTCGTGCTGATCATTTTTTATTTCTTCGTGATGGATCAGCAATGATAAGCTCGTTCACGTGTGACCACAAGAAATTTATAGGTGCTCAAATCACCTCAAAGTTCCTGATAGATTGAATAAAACAGATTATCCATCAAATATTGCTGCCACATATCATGTAATGGTGTACTATACCGCTGTGTAATTAGAGGTGGAAATAGGCTTTATTTAGAAAAATGTGATCTATCTTTGGTCAATTTTGTTGCACCTGTGCCATTTAGTACGTACTAATAATTGGAATATGCTCTTTTAATCACATCACATGTTCAATGATTGAACTACATCAGTTCTAATTTAGAACGTTCTAGAACGTAAACCTTAATCATCTATATTTCTAGATCAGATCAAACAAACCAGAATAAAATATAAAAACGCACAGATCCTCTCAACAATGTTTATATTCTTTTCACTTCTACACGCAACTATTCTACCCGACAGATGTGCAAAGGCCGGGATGATTGCCTTAACGTTCGACGAGGGGCCTACAGGTTATACACCAGCCATTCTGGAGACACTCAGGGATGAGGACGTAAAAGCAACGTTTCACTTTACCATACAGAACGTTACAAGGGGCAATATAGCAGAGCATATGCGTGAGGCTGTTGAGGACGGGCACACAGTAGGTCTACGCGTTAACCCGACGAGGAATTATGATGAGATGGATGCTGGTGAGATTAAAGAGGACATAGACCAGCAGATCAGGGCCATTCAAAATGAGACAGAGACGAAGATAAGGTTTGCCCGCGCACCCGTGGATGCGGGAGAAACTAACGCAGAAGTGTACAACGCGTTGATGGAGAAGAAGATAATACAGTCAAACTACACGTACTGCCTGTACTATGAGGTAGAGGATGTTGATGCTGCCAGAGAGTACCTGAACAAGGTGTTTAACGCCAGCAACCCAAAGTATGATTCGTTTATCTTCCTTTTGCACGAAGAGCGCGAAAAGGACTTTCCTATCCTGCAGGACATAATAACACTTGGAAAAAAAAATGGGTACAAGTTTGTCACGATGGACGAGTGTCTGGATGGGTACAAACCGGGTACGGCAGTTAACTCCAAGGCATCTGCAAGCAAACTTAAAAGCAGCAGTGCTGCCAACGATACATTAATAGTACCTCTTTCACTCCTGGTATTTTTATTGATAGGATTTTAAGGAAATATACCGTGGTAGAGGGTGGTGTAGCGTAAAAATGTAGATAAAAAGTAAACATTCTATGATTCGGATGAAATACTATCCATTCTATGAGAGGATAGCATTGTTTGCTAGTGTATCTGTGTATTGATGTAATCTCCTGCGGTTATCTCAGATACCATGCAAGCAGTATTATACTACCATTCCCACAGATACCATACGAACTAACACAAACGTAGATTTACCACCGGTTTGAATTATTTTACGTGCTTATGCTAAATCACGTCACCAAGAAGCAAATTATACAGCAATAAAACTAAGAACATGATAACTCGTAGATCGGTCACCATAGCAACAATGATGCTAAGAGTTCAGATCTACAACATCGATGAATTTTAATCATTAGGCATATTAAGAGTGTTTGGTATGCTAAAATACTTTGTTCTCTGCCACAGGAGAACGAAAATCATTGCATCGTATCTCTGCGTCTATTTTACAGGCTTTCATACAATTTATGAAAACTTAGCAAACAACTATTCATGTTTCTACAAAAGACAGGTTCTGGATGGCATGAAGTACGTGTTGTTCTAATTACACATGCTTTAAGAGTTTAAAGAAGGATAATGGTATGGTTGCTGTATGGTTGCTGTATTTTTTGAGTTTACACGCTATATCCGTATCAAAATAGCACCTTGGTGCCCTTCGTTTAACAATTTTAATAAACCGTGCATTCGAAACCGTTAAAGATAAACTTCCTTATCAAACGCGTTTTCTAGGCAGACAGGATTCGCAAATTTATGTGGATCGTGCGAATTAACATGATGAGATGGTTGGCGCACCGCCAACTTTTCGTATAATCGATCTGCTGGTTTATGCGCCTCTATTTCTCTCAATACCTGTGATAACGGGTTGCATCGTAGGTTTCTGTATGATGGCAGTTCAGGGACAGGAGAGAACAATATTTTATTCTTCTTTCTTATCTTCATACACATGTAAACAACCATCGCACCCAGCAACAATGCACATGCTATAAACGATACGCTGAAAACGAGCTGAATTGTTGATTTCAACCCGTTCTCGTATTCTGATGCGTTGTTGCGCATTGAAGGAAATTCTGTGGCACAAGTCGACATAGTTTCGTTTGTGAGTGTTCTTATGGTGGTCATTATCACGGTGTGGTATTAAAATTGTGCTTATAATGTTGTTACTGAAACGGTAAATTAATTACGTATTTTTTACACATGGTAGGACAGCGCCTGTGGCATGATAAAGGCGTTTTTGTTGTTATTTGGTGCAGTGTTTACCGTGAACATGGATCGTACTTTCTAAGTCTGCACCAAAAATTCAGAGTGTGCTATTACACTGCTTTTGAAAGCGTTAGTTCTATGCCGTGAATGATTAAAGAATTATTTAAGGCACGATTGCACGCTTTACAGCAATTTTTCTTTTTTTGACTGGTGCTGATGTAATTTACCCTGTAGAGCCGTGGCTTGCGCAGCACCTCAAGAGCAACCGAAAAACTCTTCTTCTCAAATATTAGGGAATGTAACTCCTTCAACCTAACACGCAGCCAAAGAAGAGTGTTTGATGTCCAACCCACCACTAGCACATCCAGAAGCGATACCGTGCGGTTTGCCGCTTGTCTATCCCATAGAATTGGTAGTTTGACTTGTGCATCGGGTTATTGCGAAGTGTCCAGCGAGGTGGTAGACAAAATGAAAGCACCGATATGCATTTTGATTAATTTTTGATTAGTGCAGTCCGTCAGTTGCCAGATTAGAGACAGCAATTTTCTAAAATGAAGGAATTAATGAGATTAACACGTCTAAAATTGCTTACCACGCCTCTACCCGTGCGTGACAAACTTTCTACCATTCCTGACCTGATCCTCACGTTGGTAACAAGAATCGCTTCCTTGAGAAGTGTGTGTAGCCAACGTAGTGATCCAGGTACCACTCGAATGACTGGCTAATCATTGTTCAACTATCCATGTACTTGAGGAGGGCGCATGTTGTCAATTTCGCTACACCCATGACCACATAATCGATGCGCAGCTCCTCGTTGATTGCCCTCCTGCAATAAATAGGGCACAGAACATCATGCCCTTAGCGCATGGTCTATCGCTCGCGCCAAAGGGGAACCAAACTGTTATTAAACAATACATTCTACTAACACTGCTGTTCCTCCACAGTCACGGCTTAGCAGACTCAAATACTTTCATAACATTCCTTTAATTATTTTTATTTTGTAGTGCCTTCTCCAAGAAATATCTAAACAATGGATGGCCGTCATCCAAATTCAAGGTCATTTCCGGGTGATACTGCACACCAACAAAGAAAGGATGATTGTTCAATTCAAATATGTCCATTTTAAGACCGTCCTTGCTCTTACCCACGAATCGAAGGCCTTTCCTCTCGATCATGTCAACGTATAGGGGATTAACCTCGTATCGGTGCCTGTGACGCTCTACGACGTGGTGAGAGGAGTCGCAACTGTTGTTGCCGCTGTAATCATTGCTCTTATTATTTGGCTGCACGGTTGATGATTGGCTAGAACAGTTTATAGCGGTGCTCTCGCTGTCATGCCTCTGCGCAAATGCTGGGCATTTGCTGGCTGGTCGAGCACATCCAACCGTTTCTCTAACCGATCTGTCGTATGCGCTGGACCTGTCAGATTCGCTGGATCGGCACCCGTTAGAGTTACACTCATCAGGTCTGCATCGACCAGACTCCTCACAGACATCAGATTCCGTACATCTAACGGATTCACAGCACCCATCAGCCGGACCATCACACGCAGCAGTACATTCACTCGAACTGGCACTGCCAGTATTCACGTACTCATCTGAGCATCTTCCACCGCTGTAATTGCAGCATTCCTGTCCATCGCAATACAAGTACGTTCGCTTGTAATTCGCACCATACGCATCCTTAACCATAGAATCAACGAGGTATGAGCGCCTACTGCCCAGTCTCATCTTTCCACTAACTATTTTCTCAATCCTATGGTCCTCCATCACCATGACAACTTTACATAAACTCGTAGTATCGAATTCCTCTGATGTAGCATCGCACAATCCCAACACATTACGACAAAATTCTATAACGCAGAGCTGAAAACCTAGACAAATGCCTAGGAATGGTATTTTGTTAGTCCTGGCATAGTTGATCGCCAATATCTTACCCTCCGTACCACGTGTCCCGAACCCACCAGGCACCAACATGCAATCACAACCACAGAATATTTTATTAAGTACGGCAGTTATGTCGCCATCTGGGGCCGTGCTCCCCTCTACTTCTATCATTTCACTGTCTATCATCTTAATGTGTACGTCTATGTTCATCATCAATGCGCAGACCTTCAGAGTCTCTATCACGCTTACGTAGCTGTCATCGTTACCATTGTATTTGATTACCATGGCAACCGTCAGAGGACGCTTTCTGTCGTTGTACACCCAGGAAAGTTTCTCCTCTGTTTTGAAAACATTTTTGTCTCTGATCTTCAGCAATGAGAGCAATGCCTCTCTCATGCCCTGTGCCTGCAGATCAAAGGGTATCTCGTACACCAGGGATGTGTCCTTGGACGAGAACACATCGTTCACGCCCGTTTTCCTTACAATTTTGCTCCTCGTCCCTTTAAAGAACGCATGAGGACCCCTGCACACTATGATCCCCGGCTTAAGATCTCTGCTTATAAACTTTTGCACCGATCGCTGTACTAATTTGGTCTTCTGCTCGTTGTTAGAAAATGACGGCATGTAATCCACGCTCACAACCAGGAAGTCCTCCTCTGCACATTTCCGTTTTATGTGCGAGAGCGTGCTCGAAAATATGCTGCTCTCCGTGTCATCTATCACACCGCCCACCTCTATAAGCACCACAACGTTGTCCGTATTTATACTTTTATAAGCTTTCTTTTTATGCTTTGCATCATTTATGCTACCACTTATTTGTTTGTTAAAATTTTTATCGCTTATTTCCTTATGCAGCACACATTGTTGATCAGTTGTAAAAATGCTTCCATCCACATTAACCTTCCTATCATTGTCCAAGCTGCTGTCCGTGTCACAATCAGCCCTCGCATTATTGTCCGTATCACATTCCGGTACCGTTCCCTTCATTACTGCGCTGTTCACCCTCATTTTCTTCGCTCGCCCTTCGTCATCCATCCTTTCGTTCCTTTCCAAAGCACTCCGCACCATGCACTCACCCCCATCGTACCCAACACGCACGCAATCATTAATCATTTCCTCAACAACAGCATTAACGTGTGGTATTACCTCCATGGTCTCACCAAAATATGCACCAGCACTTTCCTTCGCAATCATTCTCCTGTAAACCTTTCCGCCCGTTATACAACTCATCTCACCACACAGCACATCCATGACACGTTCATAGAATCCCAGGTCCATGTCAGCCTCACATCCATCCTCCAAAACGAACACCTCACCGTGATCTATCGGTGATATCGTACCACACGACTTGTTCAGATACGGATCGATCTTTACCGGTATAACTCTCATGCCTGCACTCTTCAGTATCAGTCCTATCGATGAGAGCGTGATGCCCTTGCCAATGCCACTGAGTGTACCGCCCGCTACTACTACATATTTCATAGGGGCACCGTTTTTATTTTTTTTTATAGCACACGTACATGAACACATTTTGTTTACCGCTGATCGAACGTATTTATAGGAACGGTAGAGATGTGATGCATGATTTGTTTTGCACTTGATGGCGTGTTTTAGAAATACGTTGAGGTAAAACGCTTTCCAAGGAGAAGAATTAGAAAATAAAATTTTAACAGTAGACATTCATGATAAGAGATTTGTTTATTTTTAAGGAAATTAGACGTGATAAGCATTTTGTGTTTTAGGACCAATACGATGGGAAGATACGGAAGAAAAAAAGGATGAAAGCGGTGTGTAGAACAGAAAGAAGTAAAGCAGCGGGTATGCATTGAACAGAGGATAAAATATGGTTGAAATGCGGTTAAATATTAGAAATTTGGGTGATGATCTAAATTACTTTTTAGTGGAAATTGAAGTGTAAAAGTGGCAGATAAAGGCTAATTGATGAAAAAAAGTAAAAAAATAAAATTGGTAGTTTTTATAGCATGGAATTACGGAATTAGCAAGACAAGAACGTAAAATTAATTGAACAGAATTACGGAATGATTAAATGAGGTGATGAGATAATTAATAAAATAAAAATTAAGTAGTGATCAAGTGAGATAATACGTTGAAATTGCTGTTAGCAGTTAAAAAATCATTATTAGTGGTTTAACTTGCTCAATGTAGAATTGAGAACAGCACACGGCTCTTTTAATTCAGTGGAAAGGATTAAAATGCACTAACAATGATTTAACGGTAATACGCAGCAGTACAGTACCGCACATACAAACCAATTACAATAAACAGATCAGCAATGATACATCAAGCGATGATAAATGTTGAAACAATAAAAGAACATAAAGCGTTACAATCACTGTTCTTAGCGGTGATATGGCAGGTATAGCGGCAATATAACTTAATATAGCACGGACACGGTACAAAATATCGGTTGAAAAGTTGGTGCTGTAACGGTTTATTAAAAAATATCTTTTCTTATCTCAGCAAAAGCTGGGCAATTTGTGCTAAGAAATGCACCTTTTGTTCGTTGTTGCGGTTTAAATTAGTGGAAGTTCGTTCCTTTTTTCGCTGTCGCAGATAAAACGATTTTTGCACCGTATCCACGTCAAATCGTCTCAACGATTCAAATTCACACCAACTGGCAGTGACAGCGCAAGAATATTTTGATTTGTGACAGCGAGCAAGCTTCTTCTGATACAGAACCATGATCAAATACCTAATCAATATTGAGCAGGTCTAAGTGCAACAAGCCGTTGCACTAAAAAGAGGTAACGAAGCGTACGGTCCGTGCACTGATTCGTATGCACTATCGTTATAGGACAGAGAAGGACTGCAAAAAAATTAATTTGAACGAATTCCTTTCTAATTACAGCCGTATTGAGAATAATGACAGGAAGATGGTGCGTATAGGGAAAAGATCATGGTAACAAGACATGAATAATGTGGTGATAGTGTATACAGAGAAGAGCGTTCAATAAGCAGCTATGCTGCGGTACAGGACCAATTCACTACTTGTATTTTTCATAGCCTTTTGCTGCAAAAAGAGAAACTACACGATAATTTCCTTACAATAGCAAACAGTTCGCTATTCCATAATATTTTCGAATCTGCTGTTTAGGTAAAGAAGAAAAGTGGAATTTACTTTTCATCAAAATCACTCCTCTGATCAAACTGCACGTCATTGTACAAGAAATGGTGTTACAAATTCAATCCGTGTTATTCGTCAAAAAATATTTTTTTGAGTGTTCATACTTTCGCACGCTGCCGATGTTTTCCTAACGGTATGCTCATCCACTACGCCCATCACAACAGTGCAGGTACGGTATAACGTGTTTGTGACTGTGCGTGTGCATTTATCAATAATTCAGTGACTGAGTCTTAAATTGTATATTTATCCACGTTTCGTGGAATGCATCATAATTTTGCAGGGATCTCATTGTTAGCCTCTCGCCTTGTGGCTGACAGCTTATTTCACAGTTCTAAAGTACAAAAAGGGATTGAGCAAACAGCAAAAACGAACAGTTCATTGAGTCCAACACCATAAAAGTTTTGAAGCGGTACCAACACCAGTGAACTAGTATCACCACACCGATGTGCAGCATATATGGTAGGAAAGAAGCACAAAATAAGGAACGTAACGAATTTTTGAAACAAACACGGACAGACAGTCCTTCAATAAAAAACAACTAATTTATAAAACAGAGCATCCTTTGGTATGTTCAGCATCATTTCATTCTGGTGCCGTTATATTAATACATACGAGTTTGCATAATGCTGTACCTTTCCCTCAACACAGACAAACCGCATTCTTTGTATCACATTATCATGCACGTTCTGTACGCTCTTCTCCCTATTTTAAAGTGATATGGAAATAACCGTGCTATTCATCAATTACAAAAGATACTATAAATATTGATGATATAGCATATTGCGTTTATGCGATTATGCTATGCATAATTAAACGTTTTGTTCTTATGGTACGACCAACCCAAATATTCTATACCTCTGAGTGTCTACGAAGCGTAAAAAGCGAGAGCTACGCATTCAAAATGCCTATCAGTAACATTGATTGAATGGTACGCAAACCGTGACATCATGATTAAAGTGCGGTAAATCGCACTTAAAGTTCATTATTCGTGTATTATTGAACTAAACACTTTAATTAAGCGGTATTTCTTCCAACAAAAGGCTTTACGAGCAGTGCTGCGCAATGTGCTGTCACATGAGAACACTTCTTCCGATCGCTTAGCCCGTCATTGCTAATCACGATAATGATATGAAGCACAGCGCTGCAACCCAGCATGCACCAATCAGCCCACAGTTCTACTCCTCTCCCGTTCCATGTTAAAGTCGTCTTTATCACCTGCTCGTATCACCCTCGTTACTCTGCTCTTTCTACCCCCTCGCCATCATCTCACTGATCTCTTTCAAAAACAACTTCTCAACTCCCTTCCGGCACAACTTGCCCGTACTCGCAGTTATACACCCTTCAAGGTCACAGAACTTACTCTTCACCAAATGCACGTGCTTGGGCACCTCAAATCCGAATAAATTGCCCTCCTTCTTCTTCACTTGTGCGATTCTTTGTATTTCGCTCTGCACTTCTTCTGAGGTGCTTTCAGACACGACCAGAGCAACAACGAATGAGTGCTTGGTGTCACCTGTTACGAAAATGTCTGTGAAGGTGGTGCACATGCTCTTGAACACATTTTCTATGCGCTCGGGTACGATGTACTCGCCTTGAATTGTTTTAAAGTTGTTTTTGAGGCGTGATACGATGTGGACACTGCCGTTTACCATTATGGCGTTGTCACCGGTTCTGAACCATTTGGTGCTTTGAAACAGGCTAGCTCCATTACTGCAGGTTTCTTCGTTTTTGGCACTGGTGCTGGTTTTATCACACCTTTTACCGCTACCGGTGCAGAGTTCTTCATTTTTACGGTTACTTCTCCCATCTTTGAAGTTTGTTGTGCTATCACAGGTTTTATTACCGTTCACTGCGCCAGTAATACCACTATCCCCACCAATCCTTACACTTTTATGAGAAATACTTTCTTGATCGACACTGCTCTTCTCCTCATGATCACCGCCACCAATATTAACGCATCCAGTTCTCATGTTCTGCTCATAGGCCATTTTCTCCTGCTCAATCCATCTCTCCCACACCTTATCATCGTCACCATAGTAATTATCATCTTCAAGCCTTGTACACACGTTATCTCCTTTCACGACCAGCTCGCCATCAACAATCCTTATCTCATCGCTAAACAACGGCCATCCAACTCCACACTTATCAGTGCTCGTGGTGACTCCGCCTGTGGTCTCAGTCAGCCCATACGCTTCGTACATAGGTACACCCAGCACACTCTCCATAAAAATTTTGAGGTCGCGATCCAAAAAGGCTGAGCCACTGAACAACAGCCTGACACGACCACCAAACATGTGTTTGATGCGATTGAACGCGAAGAAATCCGCAATTTCGTGCGTGTACACGTCCTTCAACACGCTTTTTCGCTTCATGAACAGCAGAAATTTGAACAACAGACGGCTCATAAAGCCTAATTTGCTGTAAATGCCATCTCTTATCACTTCCCACAACCTGGGTGCACCGCAAAAGATGGTGGGCCTTACCAGTCGTATATCGTCCATTAATTTCTTTCTGTCGCCACTATAAAACACCACTTTTACGTTTATCAACAGAAAGCAGTAAAGTAACAATCTTTCCATCACGTGTGCTAGCGGAAGGAAACTCAGATGATGATCGCCTGCATTGATGCCAATGAATTTGTTCGTGCTTCTACCGTATTTAAGTGCGAAAATGCTCGTGTAAATGTTTCTATGTGACAAAGGAATTGGCTTGGGCGTGCCCGTGGTACCTGAAGAGTAAATTATTGTAGCTATATCATCTGCACTTGCCGGCAACGGCGGCATATCGGAGAGGCTCTCCATTTTGCATCCCAACTTTCCGTTCGAATGTGTTTCATTTCTATTACTAATTGTTTTGTCAGAGCGATTATGCGCATAATTAGTACTGCTATATCCCACGTTGTATTTATGCGCATAATCTGTACCATGCATACCTTTTATGATGCCGTGCTCGTCTTCCGCACCGCTCATCACATCATCGTAATAATATACCTTGACACCGTCAATCTCAACACCTCTCTCCTTTCCAACAACAATAACCGCTCTCAAACACTTAATGTTCCTTAGCATTTCCACCTCTTTTACACCGGCTACCACCACTTTAACATTTCCCTGTTCGATAATTTCCTTAACGTTGTCTCGCCCAAATGTAGCGTAGATTGTGGTTGAAATTTTATTCGTCAAAATGAGCGACAGATCCGTAACCGTCCACTCAATACAATTGTTGATGAATATTCCTACGTACGATCTGTTAGAAGAAAGTTGGCCATGATCGGCATGACCAGGGCTGTCATCTCCACGATTAACGCTTTTGATATTTCCCACGCTGTTATCAGCGCTTATACTATCGGTACTGTCCACATTACAACCATCCTCGCTTTTGCCACCATCTCTCCCCCTTTCCGCCTCGTTGCACACATGCTCCATGAACATGCCCATCTTCCTCACCATCTTCTCAATCTCTCCATACGTATAATAAACTATCTTTCCATCTTTTATAACACCCAAGGCATCGCACTCCCTTCTACTTCTCACCTCCTCCATGAACAGGTGTATGTAGGACTTGTCATACTCTGCAGTCGCCTTTATATTGTACAGGAGGTTGTGGAGTGAGTGAGTCGTGCAGTTGTGCACAGTCAAATTTTGGATTACACACATGAATTCCTTGCAGGATGGGGGAAAATATTAAATGAATGATGAAAATGTAATTGCAATCCTTTTATGGGCGTAGCTGTACGAGTGATGGTACAATTTGAGGACTCATGAACTGCAAGATGATGTTGATGAACAAACAAACTTTGTAAATGTGATTATTTGGATGTGTAAGGCTTCATAATATGAAAAAGTGCTGAGTAAGTTCAGTTTGTTATACAAATCAAAAATAAATACCTATAACATGGTAAAGTAGGATAAGATGTGCTTATTTAACGAGAGTAAATATTTAATACCGATGTAAATTAAATTAAATCCTTCTCGTTCATACAGAATATCATAACATTCAGTACGACCTAATATAATTTTTTATATTTGTTGATCATTGCTCTTGATTTATTTTATGAATTCTCATTTATCTTTATAAAGGAAAATGATCGTAGATATGGAAAAGAAAGGAAAGAAACTTAGCTGCAGCATTATACAGGTTTACACTACAGATTATGCCATTAAATGAATAAAATAACCATATATACGTAATTATGGTGCAAGGTAGAATTAGAGAATACTTAGAACCACGAATTATACAACACTGACCACCGCTGTGTATAAACACATTAATACAAAGTACGGAGTGAGATGCTTGTGCGTACATTTTGATGATCATAAAACAATTAATTTAAAAAATAATTAAATAATCCGTGTTGTGTTACTTACAGCTGTGCTACGGGCATAAAATGTACAAAAAAATGAAAAATTGTAAAATATTGTTTAGCGTCATGAAAATACCGGTACTAAGGCTAAAAGTAAATGTACGAGTGCAATGCCTCCATCATATAACCGTCATTATTTCTTAACTGATATGATACCAACAATAAGCGATAAAAATTATAAAAACAAATCGATAGACGGCTTAAAAGCCAGAGAAGCGGAACTCATGAGGCACACGTCCTCAGATAGAACTGATAATGATATAACCACGACGTCATTATGAAAGGAAACCATACCAACCAATAAAAGTACAATAATTATTCCGGAAGGCGCTGCTGTACAATATTTTTGCGCCAGAACGGTTAGCTCTATCAAAAGAACCAGTTGCTATATTCTTCTTATCAGGCATACCCACTATCTGGAGTAACTTGAGAATCTTATCACAGGCACAAAGATGTGATCAGAAAATTTAAACGATGGTGACTGTAGATCACAACATGCCATCGTAAAATTACGTACCGCAACGTGTAATGTGGGCGATTGATTTAGTTTGTGATCCAGAGAGCGCCTCACAGCATTCAAATTGGTATTGCATACTAATGTTGGAAAGATGAAGCGGCAAGAAATAACACAAATAAATAATTTTATGTGCAGCGACTCCATCCGATCAAAACATTTGCGTTAGTTCGTAGGCTTTTGCCGTTGAAAACAGGATGCGCCCACGATTACGAACAAGTACATGTGCGTGCAGAAATCAGTACTAAGGTATGAACACTATCACTGAGACAAATTCTTTAAACTTGCACAATGGTGTTTTCAGATCCCTACCTCCAGCCAGGAAAGTCTCCAGCAAATATTTTAGCAAATTAACACTGGTACGTTATTTAATCAAGATTATTATTTTGTACTACATTCAGAGCATCCGGGCTGGTTATTTAATTCTTACATGTTCATAAGCAGCCTTGCATCCCATCGATCAGAGAAGGAGCAATGAGGAGCAGTTGATGTGTGATAGATAAAAGATTCGTAGTAAAAAATTACAGCTCGTTGAAAAGAATAAATGTTTATACCACTCTTCTGTCGGATAAAGAACTTCCTGAGCTCTTTAATTCTGCCTAATCTCATTCACCACGAATTCAGATTCAAACCAAATTCAACAAATGTTAGTCACAGCCTTGCATTCACACTGCGATGTACTGGTGAGGTAACAGTATCGCCAAAAATAAAACGATGTGTTGTTCGATAGGTCGGTGAAACATGCGCAATTGCTGCTAACCGTAAATAAAACCGCTAAAAATAGTAATTTATGATTAGAACAGTTGGTACTGCGTTTAGCATCTTTACCGGAACATTTGGTGTTTATCATGGCAGTAAAAAGGACATCTCAGCAGTCATTAGTTAATAAGTGTTTATAGCGGTGATCATTAATGGCAGAAACATTTGACCAAAGTATCATTCAGAATTATTAGGATGCATCTGGCTCAACCTGATCCGGTGCCAAACATCAGAGCATGTTACTCGCTTCCTCATTATAAATACCACATATTGCCGAAATTGCTTTTTCTGATCTACAGCTCAGGCTATCTGCGGCCATATGCACATTTTTTTCCTGCTTGTTCCGTGAATAGGCATCAGGCGAACAAACTTCAACAGGTTGCAAAGTCTTCCGGTGCTGCACCCGAATACTATTTTAAACCACCTTAAGTCCAATAATGCAAATCCTGGAATGACTCGGCCTGGTTTCAGAGCACCATTTGCTGCATTATACCTCTCTGCTCTCCGCACATGTAGTTCGTGAAAGTAAAATTAACCGAACAAGACACATACCGCAAAAAGGATGTTGCAGGGATTCAGCGCAATCTTTTTGGTAATAATAAGAACCATTTGTGTTAAATAAACACGTTCTGGCCCAGCAATAGGTATGTGCTTGTGGACGAGAAAAGGTTCGACAGCTCGAAATATGAGAAGGGATAAGAAACAAGGCTTATCGAACACGACTGTGATATTGCACAATCTTTCTGGCGTTCATATGTGCGATCCTCATCTTACTTTCGAATCTAGTCGTGCATCCACAAAAATTTCGATTCAATCAACCAAACAAATCGTTGATACCGTCTTAAACAATGTTGTGCTTTGTTCATGTTTGCAGCATTCAGCACAACACGTTTAGACCTGCAACTCTGGGAATAACGAACACCTGTGCGTAAATTGAGTTATTAAAAGCAGCCATGGCGGGCTGGAGAATAGCCCTTTTCTTTGTTTACGATCGTGTCAACAATAGTAGCCCTCTGTGTATGCCGCGAACTAAATTGGCTTCTATCTAAAGCATTTCGCTCAAGATCATTGCGTCCATTACCAAAGAACATTTGTTCTCGTCATATTTACGCAGTAACTAAAAAAGGAGTGGTATTCTCTGATTTTGATAGATGCCTTTCAGCCATCAACATAATATTTTTACGCGTGTTACTCAGCACTTAAAGACATCACATGCTATCTAAGCTGCATTCATTTCCCTGTAATTTACGAATCGTTCTTCCTATCGCCGGTTCATACTTCATGTGGTCTGTTTTCAGTGTTTGGTAGGACCAGGCATAGCGGCTAAAACAAAATAAATATTTCCAATCTATCGAAATGTTCTGTTGTCCTCTCAACTGCCCATCTCCAGTCACCTCTGTTTTCTCAAGGATTCTTAATTTTACTTTGAACACACGTCTGATTTTACCAATAAATTCTGCATCGCCAACAACTGAAGAACCTAAAGCCTCATCAACTACCTTCACAGCCGTGTTCTTATCAGAACAATGACGTTTTCTAGGATTGAACGTGCTTATGCCATTATTACGCAGCCATTCAACATTCTGCGAAAAGTGTTATCGATAGTCCGAATTCGGGAGTAATTGCAAGTCTCTGTAAGTAAGACTTCTCTGTGTTATCCTCAACAAAAACATTCCCGGTGCTACTATCCTGTTCATGTGCATACAGAACATAAGCTAGGCACGAAAAGTTTACAAATAATGAAATTCTTACCACTCTTACGGCATTCACCAAACCTGTTGAAGGCAGTGTGGCAATGAAGTACGTTGAAAGGGATGTTAAAGAGAGAACGAAGACCCAGCGTGCAAAAATAACCTGAGTATGAATGCTTGTAGTACCGGTAAACTTAGAACATAAGGTTAATTTTTTGTAGCCTTCTCCTCCAAATAGGCACGTTCACGACCCATTGAGAAATCACAAGTAAATATAAATTCACACCACAGTGTATAAAGAGTAGCAACACGGTGTTTTAATGTTTAAGATGAATTTACATGTATTATGGTGCTGCTAAACCTTTTATAACGATTTTATACCAGGATTAGAACTCCACAATGATAATCTCTTTATCCCAGTCTAAATGTCTTATTCGTCCCATGTTCTTTCGTGTAAATCTTTTCCGAATTTTGAAATAGATGTACAATGGCAAATCTCTCAATATTTGCATACTTTCCAAACCCAGAAAAAGTAATTGTCCGTCATTCTGCTGGTAAAACACATTACGTCTACTGTATTTTGGTAATGATATAACATTAAAATACATTCGATCGCTACCAATATCATTACACCAATTGTTTAGCACCTTTTTATGGGTCTCTCCTGTATTTTTTTTGGTACCAACCGTATTTTTAACATTTGTTCCCAAGTTCTTCCTTTTTTCCTTGGCAGTATTGCTGTTAGCATCATCGCTTACATTGAAGTGCTGCATCTTGCCGTTCAACGTATGATCCCTCCTAGTTACGCCAGATTTCCCTGTACCTTTGCACGAATACACCTTGCTCACTGTATCATCACCAAGTTCGCAATTTTCCTCGTGATATACGGTATTAAACGGAAACCTGACCCGATCACTAATATTGCTCGACCATCCCATCCATCCATACACTCTTTTCATCAACACATATTCATCAATCGGTTCGAAAAACAGGAATTTAACCGGTACGATCACGTGTGACGTGACATCACACACCGGACAAACAATTCCATAGCGACCTAACATGCCCACATGATTGCTGTCTTGGTTCGCGCTCTCCACATTGTTTATACACGTATAGCAGTAGATATGCCCACATGAAAGCGTGACAGCATTACGGTAGAATGAAAAGCAGATGGGGCAGTCTGCACTGTATGGAACAAGGAAGTAGGATATCAAATTGGTGGAGTAACTTGGCTGTATTTTGGTACGTGCTGACAGTACAGGGATGAACGTATCTGGGAATGGCATAGAAGGGTACAAAAGGGGAAGATATATTAAATTGAGTGATACACAAAATTGTATGCTAATGTAATTTATTAAGCTTATGCTTGTCTTACTCTATCATACGCCATATCTCTTCGTTTGTTCTCCCCTTCTTTCCTACACTTCTTTTAAGTCTCTTAGCATCGGACTGCAAATCATCACAGCATTGCTCAGTATCTGCAAACCTCTGCCCATTTACATTCTTGGTTGGCACATAACATCGGTCACGGCAATTAACGGAGCAATTGTGTGCTTTTCCATCAGCAGTGCTGTCGTGACCAGTCATACCAGAATCATGCCCACAAATACTACCAGTATCTCCCAGATAAAGATTCTGTATGGGCGTATTGCTGCTGTCATTACCATCCTCTTTATCAAAACCTTTTTTACCACCATTTTTCCTTCCATTTATTTTTCTGCCATAATTGCCATCTTCTTCCTTCTCGGTGTCACTATTACCGCAATTTCTTTGACTGTCACACCCGTTATTCAACTTGATAACATCCTCAGCGTCCTCCATAAATATTAAATAGTACAAACATTCCATCTCCTCACTCACAATTCCTTTAAAACTGAACAACTTTCGTTTATCCTCATTATAAAGAACCACTTTTCCTTCTTCAACCCTTATAAAGCCTTCCACCCATTTTTTGTTTCTCTTCTTGTTCTTGTCCTTGGTGTAAATGCAGGGGCAGAACGACATGCAGGGGAGAAACATGCGAAACGATAATTTATAGATTTGATAAAATACAAAACACGCGAACACAGTACCTACAACAGGTAATACGAGATGTTTGTTTTATTTTACTATGTATAAATTATTAATGTACGCTGTTTGGTTATATTAGTATTTTACGGCTATTTATTTGTTTTTTATAAGGAAATAGTACTATTCGGACCAGTAAATCATTTATTTATACTTAACTTTGCATACTCCAGCTTTTCGCTCACAAAATACAAAATTTTTGTTACCAATATTGCATTTTTTGGGATATAAGCCATATAAAGTCCTCATACCATACAAATTCGTAATAATTATCGATATATCGTCACTATCATTCACTTTCCTCTCTTCGACATGTCACCATTTTTTCCTTAAAAACACGTTTACCTACCACTTCATACAAAAACACATAAAGAAACCACCTTTACGATCCATAGGGACTAGCCATGTTTCTGTTCATAGGAAAATGTCAACAAATCGCCTCACGCCTTTCCCCATCAATTCTTCATACTCTATGATTGAGCCAATTCTGTAGAAATAACTCTGTGCGCTACTCTGCATTCTCCCTACCGCCACACTTCCTTTCAATCTCAACAAAATACGCATCATCTCCATTCTCATAGTAATTTTTCACCACATACCTGATAACACCATTAAACCTACCTACGTAGAATTTAACAGCACGATAATTACTGACACGCACACAGAGACATACCTTGTCATTGCCATTTCTATTAATGAACACGTGCATGAGATTTGTCGCCACGTTCATGTTGCGATACGCCTTTTCAACACTCAAGCTTATGACTGTTCCGTTTTTGTCCGCCAGCAGGTATCCAACAAGCATGTTTCCAAGTACTGCCACGTAATTCGTGGATGGATTGAGGAGGTAATGGATAGAAAGAAACTCAAGAGTGTAATTTTCTGGGAGTGTAAGGTGGTTAAGCTGCTGAACGTTCGGAATGTCGTGGCCCTTCAGCGGTCTTATTTTCATTGAGAGGATGTATGGATTAAAGGGGTGTTCGTAAGATAAATGATGTGTCAAGGTGATTGATCTACCAAAACGTGCGTCATAGATGCGCAATGATGATTTGTTAGATGACATTCCGTGTACATTGCTGTATGAATGGGTAGGATGAAACAGCAGTGCCACACAGGCTGAAAGAACCGTTTATAGCATGTCAGCAATGAGCGAAACTGTAGCACAATGTAAATGTGATACCGCTTCATGAATTGAAATGAACATTACTGAGCTGTTGATAAAATATTTAAAAAATTTAATTTTGAACCGAATTGAATTTATTTGGCTAGTTTCATATTTAAGGCAACAAGCCACGTCAGCACCGATCAGGATAGAACAAAAAATACGCGGCTTTAAATTTACTGGTGATTGATATAAAGGCTTATCGAGTTTATCATCGCAATATGTCTGACTCAAATACTGAGCAATACTGGAAAGGACATCTACCACATAATGCACAGTGATGTTACCACGCTTCTGCTCTGTCTATTAAATGTTTACAAAATCTTACAACAATTCATGTTATCAAGTTTTTGTAGAGGCATAGAACAGTATTGTCTGCAGAAATGCTGCATTTGATACGTTATTTCCGTGTGATATTTCTTCAAATTATTTTTTTAGCTACACATAATTTTTTGACAGCCTTTCAAGCCTGCGGGTCCATTAAAAGCGCTCGTCTAATTGAATTACGAAGACAGTTCTACCGCCCACACACTCTTCTTACGCTATTGCTTAGTAAAACATAGTACAAACTGCCATTTCATATAAAATATATCGTACGTTCATCCATGATTCGTTATTCGTAAAATGCTTTCTTGCTTTCAATAATTTGAAAAACGTAAAGTGATTTCTTTGTTTCAATAATTTGAAAAAGATCAAATAAGGTAAATGTGAAAAAAGCACGGCGAGGAGCCAAAGCGATATGACATGATGTAACAGGTTAAATTAATGAGAATATACTTGTGCTACATTTTATAAACCATTTAATATCCACATAATCGATAATAAGTCACTACGTGTTATTAATAACGTTTTGCTCAGTGCGTTTAAGTTTCAAACTGTTATTTTACTGTTACAGAATAAACAAAATAACCTGAGTATCAAGTAAATACGCAGTCAGCAGACTTATCTCAGTTGTATACACCTATTTGCTATCCACACAATTGTTTTCCGTGGTGCTGCTCATCTCTTTGTTTTCTCGTTTTATCACTTCTATTTCTGATAAATTCACGAAATTAAATAAAGGAACCCCTTCTCATATAAATAACCAGATGATAGCTCGACCATAAAAAGGAATGACAAGAGACGACAACAAACCGGACGATGACTTGTCACTTCCGCGTTCTACCATAGACAAAATGCTGTCAACATACCAGCTGTCTATACCACGGCACGTGCGTGACCACCTAACAACATATCTTCATCAGTTCATACACTACATATCGTCTGATGCCAATTTGCTGTGTGAAAAGGAAAAGAAGAAGACAATAACACATGAACATATTTATGAGGCACTAAGAACGGCGGGATTTGGGCATTTCATTGAGGAATGTCAGAAAGTGTACGATGAAACTTTAAATTTAAGCAAAATGAGGCCGAGCAGAATCAACAAATTGAAGAGCTCTAAATTTTCTATAGAAGAGCTGAGAATGGAGCAGAAGAAGCTGTTCGAGAGTGCTAGAAAAGAGTACGAGAATATGGAGTTTGATGGAGAGGAAAAATAAATACTATAATTTGTTTTATTGCTGTGCAAGGTTTGTCTTACTAAAGAAGAATTTGATTGTATATGGACCGTAAGCATAGGTTATGATAGTCTATGTTTATTTTAACAGTACTATCGTGCACTACTCTCACGTCATAAATAGCGTTTGAAACATGTTGCACGAGCAAAGATTCAAATGTTCTGTTTCATCAATTTAATTACCGTTTTTTTGTTATTTCGGCTTTTATAATAGCTCGTACAGTAATGGTGATATTTATGTTCGAGCTACTCATTTTTTCGTCCATAGCTCCTCCTGATTGACAGCAAATGCTGATTAAAATGAATTTTGATCAATAATACATGGCTATTTTCATTTTTCGCTCTTAATTGGTAGAATACTCGATTTGTTACACATTCACAAGACCAAATGAATTATTTCCCGAAATAATTTTTACGTAGAGAAATGTTTGGTGATCATTTCTTTTCAAAAAATGTAATAATTAAGCGGTATTCATTACAGATAATCCAAAAAAGAGGAAGCATACATTTTATCCTGTTAAATCGGAGCTCCTGCCCATTCTGTGAGGAATGCCGAAATAGCTTGCAAATCTTTTCCATATATTATTACGATGAATGTTTTTGTAGGTTTTAGCAAGTCATAATCTCACTCAGTCTCTCTGTATAGTAGACAAAACGAGTTAGCGGTATCCGTGCCAGAATTTGATTTATATAGCGCAAGAAGCATCGTTTTTTTGTATTGTAGTAATTGAATAAGTCTTTAGATTGCAATTGGCCAAATTTCGTTACAAAATACCGTCTTAAACTATGAACAAATTATCTGTTGCAGTACCAAAATTCAGAAAAAAATTGATAGGATTGTGGTGTGAAAGAAATTTGTATTCTCAAAGCATACTGATGCTGAATTGATATGTATGCCAGTTTAATGATAATTCTTGGAAGTAATGTGTTTAATTCGCAGGAATTATTACTTTGAAGTAAGTTTTGGTATTGATGGAGTAATTCAAAGCAAGCTATCAACAAAACACTAAAACATTTACGATGTCGTGCATGTTTAATTGCAGTCAACAATAAAAATTAATGAGATTTACATGGTATTCGCAGTTCGGCAATATATTTAAGACCGTAGTGGTTCGATTAGAGATACATACGAGGCTTTTATGTACCGCTCAATAAAGTTTACTTTGTGTAAATCTGATCACTGGAAATACTAAAAGTAATAACGTACCTAAAGCATTATTTGAGAATGATTCGACTAGACAGAGCTCTAGCTGCACATAGTATAGAATGCCGCACAAAATTTTTCTTGCTTTTTATACACAATATTTGTTCTGGTTATGAAACGTATTAAACGCATATATAAAGCACACAGAAGAATATTGTTCATTCGAAGATTTAGTATGATTTTAGTTGACCAAATCAAAATTCTTTATAGAGTTGCCATAAAAAACATTGTTCACAGCATGTTTTGCTATGTGTTGTTCTTCCGATGCGTTTGAAAATATTCAATGATTTTATTTCACCGGATCCGATCAGCATATTCAACAGAATGCAGAACAAAACAATTCAAAGCAGCAAACCCAACAACAAGCTCACTCGAGATGACTGTCAGCAAGCCTTACACTATCTCATTTAATGATGTGAGATATAAGCATAGTAACAGTCAGGATGATCAACAGTGCCGTTAGAGCGGGCTAAAACAACAATAAACCATCTAGTCAAATTTCCTAAAGAAGTCCAAAGAAAGGTATTTACGATAACATACGTAGCTCTTGTAATCATTATGCACATTAGTGCAATTGCCACGTGCTATAGCAATAAAATATTGTGATTCTGCTGGATTTATTTGCTACTGCAATACCTAAACTTATTACTTGTTGTGATAAAAGGTCCATATAAGATAATCCAGTGGATGGAACTTTCCATAAAACTGCTTTTCGAACGGTTTACGCGCTGTTCTCTTCTATTTTTTTGATCAGGTAAGAAAAATTGATTACACCATTTATAATTCAATAGCATCAAATAAGTAAAATTAATTAATGTTCGCAATAAATTTGAATGCAAATTGAATATAATTTGATTTCTTCACAACCTTTTAAACATGAGATAGTTGTAAAAACGAGTGTAATCATGTAAAGCCTTATTTTGGTCGTTACAGTGCATCTTATAGTTTAATTAATCAGAGAATTTATTTCGATAATTTGGATGTTTTGATTTATAAAAGTTGATATCGCAATAGTTTTATACGCACTCAACATTTCATACAGTCCACCT